TCTTCCATCCAGTGGTTCACTTCCCAAGTGGCCACAATGCTTTGGGGCTGAGCCAGGCTGAAGCCAGGAGCCAGGAACTCCATCCTGGTCTCCCACGTGGGTGGCAGGGGACCAATTACTTGGGCCATCTTCCGCTTCATTGTCAGGGGCATTAGCAGGGAGCTGGATTGGAAGTGGAGTAGCCAGGACTCGCAATGGCACTCTTAAGGGGTGCTGGTGTCACGGGTGGCAGCATAGCCTGCTGGGCCCCTAATCTCACGGTCTTACATTTAGGTTTTGGTGGATCATTCTGTGTTGAAAGCTAGACACAGAGTCCCTCACACATACAGATACCACACTCTGGGGTGGGTGCAGACGTGATGTGTGGTATAAACGAGAAAAGGAAAATGCCATTGCTTTCATAAGGTTTTTTCCTGGAGAGTCAGGAACGTAATAGGAAAGTGAATATTTTCCCGTTTTGCTACAGGAACTAGAAGTCTCAGCGGCGTCAGTTTCATTTCCCCACAGCAGTCGCTGCAGTAGCACCAAATGGTCTTTGTGTTGCTGGCTGTGGCGTTACCAGAGGGGGCCGCATCACGCCAGCCCTGCTGTCCAGAAGCAGAGCACTGGAAAGCCCTTAAGCTTGGGCCAGCTGGGGCCAAGCAGCCATGGGAAGAGTAAAGATTTCCATTCGGCGGGCTCTCCAGGGAACCCACGACTATAATATGAGACCAGCCCATGGCGAATGTGGTGACCTTAGCTTTGCCCTTTTGGCCACAAACCCGAAGCAAATCCCTCCCCCCCCCCCCCCCCCCCCGCTTGCAACTGGTTTCCAGGATGGGGAGAGGGGTGGGGCACTGCCGTCTGTCTTTGAGATGGCGTGCAGTGGACTGTTTCGGGCTCCGGGGAGGGGGCCACGAGGGTTTGGTTCTGGGAGGTGGGGAGGAACCTGCTCTCGACCTCCCCGGCGGGTGGCCGGGAGTCCTGGGTGCTGGTTGACAAACTGGCGGTGTAGCTGTGGAAACACGTGTGGAACCGCAAGTCGCTGGGAGCGGATTCTCGGCATCTGTTTATATCCATGTGGGAAGGCCAGACACAGGGATTATCCCAGGTGCTCCTGCACGCCAAGCCCTGGCCATTAAGGGGTTAGGTGAGGAGCTGCCGTGAGGAACATAAACCAGCCCGGCTGCCCCAGCGCTGGTGCCAGCGCTCTGAGGGCCCTGCTCGGCCGTGCCGACCCGCCGCAGGGATTCCGCGGTAATCGGGGCGCTGTTACAGCCACGGTGCCACGTGGGCCTCGGCCCCACTGTGACGTGGGAGAGCAGCTTTGCTGTCTGTCTTACAGATGAGAAAAGCGGAGATAGAGAGGTTACGTGGCTTGTCCGAGGTCGCACGGCAAAGTCCACATCGAATCCAGGTCTGGAAATTTGAAGCTTTCCCACTGGCTGTGCACCTCTCCCGCCCCACCGTCCCTGCCCTCCTCCTCGCCCTCTCGCGTTTTATGGAAATATAGCATTCAGAGAGACGTTGCACAGACACAAGGGAGAGCTCAGTAGCTTCTCCCAAAGCAGGCTCATCTGGGTGACTGGTGCCAGATGGACACAGAACTTTCCGGAACTCTGAGGCACCCAAGTCCCCTGCCAGTCACAGCTGCCTTCAGTGCATGTTCTGACTTGTAGCAAGAGAGGTGAGTTCGCCTTGTTTTCTAGAACTTTCCGCCAGAGGAGTACGCGGATGGGGGGCCTCCTGTGTGCCTGCTGTAGCCCCACAGCGTGTCTGTGGGACACAGGCTGCTGTGTGTGCTGAAGGGGACCCTTGCCCGCTGTGACGTGGGACTTCATGGTGTGCGCATCCGTTCCATCCCCGACGGGCATTTGAGTGGCGCCAGTGTGGGGCTCGGGGTGGGCGCGCGGCTGGGGTGGGACACCTGGGTCACAGGGGCTGGGGCTCTGCTTTGGTGGGTGCTTAGCAAGCTGGTCCCTGGTGCTGCCCCACAGCTTAACCGTCAGCCAGCTGAAAGATAGCTTGTGACATCCGCGTTCCCTCGGTCACTCCAGCTGTGGGTCTTTCCCCGCCCCCGTCTGACCAGTGTGTCTGCTCCCCAAAACCTTGAGAGAGAGGAAACGGGGTATGATTTGGGGAGCTGAGATACTTAATCCTATAGCATGGTGGTGGTGTGGGATAGGAACAAATAAGACACATCTAACTACCTAATTTAGGAAAAGTTTGTGCCAGTTATCAGATGCAGGCACTCAGCAGCAAAAATGCACTCCGGTCTGCACCGGATGGAGTCTGCGTTCTCTGCTGGTTCGTACTGCTTAGGTCTCTGCTCCCCGTGAGCACGGTCCATCACAGTTGGCTGCATCTGATCTTTAGAGAAATAAGCTCCTAAGTAAGCGATGGTTCAATCACCCAGTCCACTCTGCGCTGGGGAGGGCACGGACTGCATTTAATTTGCAGAGAAAATGTTTCTGTCGACTCAGCCCACAGACAGGCATCGCCTAGTGGCGTGTGCGGGAGGGCGGGGAAGGGGAGTTAAGATGCAGTTCACACCCATCAGAACTGACTGTGCTGGGGGAGCTGTGAATCTGGTCATGCGGAGATTGGTTCCTGTGGTAACAGGGAGCCACTGAGGGTCACTGAGGAGTGGAGGGGACATCCTGAAAGTATTTGCGGCCTGCCAGTGACGTGCAGGGTGTTGGAGGAGGAAGGGTTGGGAGCTACGGCAGAAGTTATGTGGTAGTCAAGGCCAGAGTGACGAGCTCCCGTCCCTACACAGCTGTCAGAACAGGGGAACGAGAAGCGGTACGAGAGGCGATTTTCCGTCTTGGCTGCTCCCTGTTGATGCTAGGAGCCCGTCTGCAAACATCTGGATTTCAGAGGTCTGGACAAGCGCACAGGAAGTGGCATTATTTTGAAAGCCCCCCGAGGGGCCTGCTGTTGTAACACAGTGGGTTAAGCTGCGGCCTGGGTCGCTGGCATCCGTGGTGGGCAGTCACTTTGAGTCCAGGCTGCTCCGCTTTTGCTCCAGCTCCCGCTAATGACCCATGTGCGTGGACCCCTGCCACTCCACATGGGTGGAGTTCCTGGTACCTGGCTTCGGCCATCTTGGGAGTGAACCAGTGGATGGAGAGCCACTTTCTTTCTGTTTGTCCCCCACCTGGAAACTCTACCTTTGAAATAAAGAAATCTTTAAAAATGAATAAGTGAGAGCTCCCCAGGGGCTTGTCATGTGCCACCTGGGTCTCAGAGTCCCTGTAGCAAAGGCAGGCGCACGGGGAGGCACAGCTTGGGACCCCAGGCGTCAGGCCAGGAGGCAGTGCCCGGCTTCACTCCTCAGTGGCTGTAAGAGGGAGACACGAGCAACCCGCGTGGGCGAGGAGCTTTGCAGGGTTGGGTTGGAGCCCGAGGGAGACAGCGGCTGAGGCCCTTTGGTGGGGGAGAGAGAGAGAGGCATAGTCTAGTGCTGAGTCTGAGGGCTGCCCAAGGGAAGGTGGTGGGGATCCCAGAAAGTCGGGGACCCTGGGCAACGCCTTGGATCATCTCCTGGAAGGGGCCAGGGAGGTTTAGGACCAAACTGAACTGGCTGAGGCCGGAACTAGCACCAGTGGGGTGAGAGGGCGAGCAGGGTGGGAGGGATGGAGCGAGGGAGTGGGGCAGAGGATGGACCACTTCTACCAGGCACACGGCAAGGATCGAGGAGAACAGAGCCAAGCGAGGAGAGAGACAGCCTCGGGCGTGGTCCCGTGTGTGCAGGGCAGCCGTGTGATGGCAGAAAAGGCCGTGGGCTCCTTGCGCTTGCTGGGTGGGAGAGACCAGTGTGGAAATGCAGAGAAGCACTGGTGTGGCGCCTGGAAGGACTTGCTCACGGCTACGGCTTAGCCGTGGGAGGCGGAGCCCCGTGCCCGCTGCAGATGTTCAGAGTGGGTGATGCAGCCTCTGCACAGTGGCCGTGGCCATTCGTGCGTCTCCCGTCATGGGCGGTCACTGTGGGTGACCCAAGGTGCTGTCTGCCTTGGAGCTGATGGAACGCGTCAGGACCGCGTCCCAGCCACCCAGGTGCAGCCCTGTGACTGTAGCGGATGCTGGTCACGCTGCCAGGTCAAGCAAACGCCACGTGAAGGCAGAGAGTGGTCAACTCGCTCTGTTTATCTTGCAACCCCTCCCCCCCAGCACTTCCCATCCCTCATTCCTGGGCGTATCTGTTGATAATTCAGTCTGAGAGCCGGAGTGCAGGTCACTCACTGTTTGGGGAAATGGTAAACAAAGATAAGAGCTTTAAGCACTGGAATTTATTTTTTTATCCACTCTGCCTAAAAGCAACTGTGTGTTAAATTTAGAAAGCCGGGTCCTGACCCCTGTGCACCCAGCCTGCCTCCTCTCCACTGCCCGTGTTCGGAGCGCAGTCCCTGCTGACCGTGGACTACGAAATGTGCTTGCGAAGTGGGGCGGTCTTTGCAGTCTGCCTGCCTGGCTGTTTATAAAAGCGTGTCCTCCGAGGGCCGTGTCCTCCAGCCCCCGTTCTGCACACCACTCCAGCAGGTGCCAGCTCTGCCCTAATATTTACCAAACGTCTTCCCAGGCCCCGCCCGTGCTTCTGCCTGACGCACCTTGGGGGGTGCCCCTGGCGGGAAGCCCCCCGCACTGTCGGCAGACCACCTTGGGAGTTACTTGTGAGGGCCCCCTCGCCCAGAACCCACTGCTGAGTGGCTGTCCTGCTGCAGGGGTTAAATCCCTCTGCAGCCGATCCAGGAGTCTGTGCAAACCCCTTTGCTGGCCTGGAATTCTGTTGTGTTGAATATTGTTCGGAACAAATGAGCCATTGTCTGTGCTAAGAATCTTCTCGTGAGAGAGAGAGAGATCTCCACTGTGGAGCAATTTATTGTAGCAGGATTTTTTTCAGCTCATCTCAAATTCCCTCCTGCCTGCTCAGTCCATTTTCGCAACTCAGGATCTACATGGGGAGGGCCAGGCACAAGCTAAAAATAAGTAAATAAATAAACCAAGACACTTCTGTTGCCTGAGAATGACGTCCAAGGCCTAACTGGTGTCTGGTACTGATTTTAACGACTTCTGAGAAGGGAGGTACATTGCGTAGGAGAAAGGGGTCAGACCAGAGGGGACCAGTCAGGGGAAAGCAAACAGCAGTGTGCAGGGGGCACCTGGACCTAGAGAGGTGAAGCCGCCTGCCCACAATGCACCTGGACCCAGAGAGGTGAAGCCGCCTGCCCACAATGCACCTGGACCCAGAGAGGTGAAGCCGCCTGCCCACAATGCACCTGGACACACAGAGGTGAAGCCGCCTGCCCACAATGCACCTGGACCCAGAGAGGTGAAGCCGCCTGCCCACAATGCACCTGGACCCAGAGAGGTGAAGCCGCCTGCCCACAATGCACCTGGACACACAGAGGTGAAGCCGCCTGCCCACAATGCACCTGGACACACAGAGGTGAAGCCGCCTGCCCACAATGCACCTGGACCCAGAGAGGTGAAGCCGCCTGCCCACAATGCACCTGGACACACAGAGGTGAAGCCGCCTGCCCACAATGCACCTGGACACACAGAGGTGAAGCCACCTGCCCACAATGCACCTGGACCCAGAGAGGTGAAGCCGCCTGCCACAATGCACCTGGACACAGAGAGTGAAGCCGCCTGCCCACAATGCACCTGGACCCAGAGAGGTGAAGCCACCTGCCCACAATGCACCTGGACCCAGAGAGGTGAAGCCACCTGCCCACAATGCACAGCGTGCGAGGACCCAGGCAGCACCAAGCCTCAGGCTCCGGAACCCTGTTCCAGAACCGTGCCTTCGGCCACGCTGCACCGGAGTGAAGGGCTCAGCCACAGCACCCAGGCTGAGAAATGCAGGGCACCGTGGACGGGGGTGGTGTTGGTGTCTGTGGGTAGGGATCATGGGGCCTGCTTCTTGGGCCACCCCGAGAAATCTTGAGGAAGGCAAAGGACTGGTGCGCATTCGTTGGTACCTGGCTCAGCGACTGGGACCTCCGCCCTCAGCCGGGGCAGCCTGCCTTACCGCTGGGCAGTGCCGAGCAGAGTGCAGGAGACCCTGGTGCAGGTGGGCGGTAGATGCACTCTGCCATGGCCTGCGGGCTTGGGTCCCGTGGGCCAACTCCACGCACGAGGCCCGCGTCGCCCTGGGTGAGACGGGGCCTGTGGAGGTTGTCAGAGGTGGGTAAGGACACGAGGGTGGCGGCAGTGTTTCTCTGTCTCGGAGCACGCCCGGTAGAGACCTGGGAGCAGGGAGCAGGTGCCCACCAGGAACCAGAGCAGCTGGCACTCCGTCTTGGACTTCCCAGCCTTCAGAACTGTTGTTGAAGCCACACAGTCTACAGTATTTTGTCTTAGTGGCATAAACAGGTTTTTACATATAAATAGGTCCCAAATATTGCCTGGGACATACTTTATGCTAAAACAAAAATCTGTTATTTGTCTGGAACTCAGATCTAACTGGCTGTCCTGTGTTTTTCCTGCTGAATCTGGCGGCTCTAAGGCGGTGGCACTGCCCGTGCTGAAGTCGGAGCAGATGCGGCTGGGCCAGGGCTCTGAGCTGGCCTACGGCGGGGGGGCATCGGGAGCAGCACACAGAGGAGAGGGACTGGGGGTGTGTCTCCCAGATGTGTCTCTCCAAACACTGCTTAGAGACCCCATCCTAGCAAAGACACAGTGGCGCCAACAACAATTAACCCTGGCTTCAGGTGGGCAGCAAGGGAGACGCCCAGGGCAGTCCCGGGTCCTGTGGTAGAGGAAGTGCAGGATGCTGACGGCTGAGCCCCAGAGGCAGGCGCAGGGCTGTCAGCCTCGGATGGGACATCCCCGTGGGACGCGGGCCTGAGCCGGCTTCCTGCAGGTGAGGCCTCGTCCAGTCTGGGGCTTGGCTGCAGGCTACACGGAGCCCTGAGGCACCTGCCTCGGGCCAGGCCGGGGCCAGAGCTGGTGGCCACAGGCCTCACAACTGTGCCTTGGGGTGGCCTTGTCCTGCTCAGGGTGATGCAGGCCCTGGCACGTGTCTGGTAGGAGGGCACGGATGCAGAGGCACAGCTGGCAAGCACCTCTCATACCCAGGGCCCGGCTTGGGGCTCCCCTGGTGCCTTCCCACCCTTGTTCTTTCTAACCCTATATCTCTGTTCTGGGGGAGGCAGTGTGTGTGTGTGTGTGTGTGTGTGTGTGAGAGAGAGAGAGAGAGAGAGAGAGAGAGAGAGAGAGAGACAGAGAGAGAGAGGAGAGAGAGAGAGGAGAGAGGAGAGAGAGTCTTTGTGAAGCCTGGGGTGGGTGCAGAGCTCACGACTCCCCTGCACTGAGAACCAAGCCCAGCTCTTTCTGCGGGCCTCCCGCCTTGCACGGGAGGAAATGGAAGCTTCCGGGGTTTGGGTGGCGATGGCAGAACTGGGCCGGAAGCCAGGCCGATCTCCAGGGCCGCCTCTGGCCCACGGTCACTGCCTCTGCCTCGTCCACCTGATGCTGTTTGGCCCCTCCTCTTTCTGCAGCTGCCGGCTCTTAGCGAGAGGACTTCTTGCCCAGAGCGGCCTCCGCGGCGGTGGCAGAACCAAGTAAAATCGGGCCCCTGAGAAACAGCTGCCCAGGCTCCCCTGCCGCGGGGGATGAGGTTCTTGGGACGGAAGGGGTTTTTAAAAATGAAATCTGGGCAGTGGGGGCAGGCCGCGCGGGGCTCAGGCCTTGATGGGTCATTCCTTCCTCTGCGGCCGTGGGGTCTGCTGATCGCTCAGACTAGAGGTCAGGATGGGTCACCCCTCCGGCCTGCTGGTTCAGGCTGGGCCGCAGGGGCAGGGGCTGCCAGGGGCCTTTCCCCTGCCGTATCGCAGGGCAGGCGTGGAGAGCTGAGGCTGGGGGACACGGGCCAGCCGTGCCACCCTTCTTCCCACGGGCCAGAGGGGCCCGGTGCCACCCGCCCTCCATCTGTCCTGCGAGGGAAGGGTTTCCTGTGCCTCTGGCTCCGGGGGAGGCCCGCCCACAGGCCATCTGCGGGGACCCAAGGCTTCAGCCAGGCCACGTCCCTGTGTCCAGCGGCGTCTCCTGGGGACAGGACCACCCCAGCTGTGTGGGCCCAACTTCCGTTAACCTGTCTCTGCTGCTGGGCTGCTCCCCCACCCCGTGGGAAAACACTGTGCAGGCCTTCTCACATCAAGTCGATTGATCGATTTGTAGAGCAGTCAGTAGAGATTCTTTCTGAGCATTTCATCTGTCCTACGAGTGTCCCCTCAGCAGCCTAGGTGAATCCCTGGTGTTGGTGAGTGGCCCTGGCGACCCCTCTGGGGCTGTGTGTCCCCTGGCGCCGCTGCTGGTACCCGGCGTTGCCCTGGGGGAGGGGTGGAGTTGAGCAGTCCATCCCCAGAGGCAGAGGGGGCGTCGGGGGGCCTCCGGCTGACTGGCAGCGGGGATGGGCGTCCAGAAAGACTTGCCGGTCAAGTGAGGTGGCTGCAGGAGCTGTTTTCACAACGCGTTTGCCTCAGTTCACGCTGAAGCTGCTTGGGCACAGCGTGGAAAGGAGCGGCCGCCCAGCCCGCCGTTTGCTGCCGCTTTACGGGCGTGCACTGCCCCCGCAGCTTTGGCTGCCTCCAGCGGCGACCCAGCCCGCAGTGACATACGGTGTCATGGCAGTTGGTTCTGGCCGTGGATCTCGTGGGCTCTTTGCCTCGGGGTCTACCACCCCCATATTACTCCTCGTGCGTGGATACCTCTTGGCCTTGCTGGAGCTCCCCACCCCCAGCTGTCCCCACCAGTGAGGCTTCCCAGAGGGACTTGACTTGAAGGTAGGGACACATGGGGTCCCTCCTGGAGTCAGAGGTGACTGTAAGGGCAGGGCCGGCAGGCGGGAGGCATTTTTGCCTCTGCTACCCATGTGGGAGAAGCAGAGGGAGTTCCAGGCTCCTGGCTTCCACCTGGTCCAGCCCTACCTACTGCGGCCATTTGAGGAGTGAACCAGTGGATGGAAGATTCTCTCTGTCTTTCAAATAAACAATTCTTTAAAAAAAAGTGTGCGGTGAATGAAAGCCCAAAGGCTGGGATGGCAGCAAGCACAGATGAGCAGGCAGGAGTCGTGTCTCTTCCTTCGCGAGTGGGAGGGCAAGGGTGAGCCCACACTCTCTCTGCCCTGTGACCGCGGGTGGAGGCGAGGCTGAGAGACCAGAGACAGGTGCTGCATTAGGTGGCTCGGGCCGCTAGCCCTGCACAGGTAGGCTCTGTCTGGTCCCGGAGAATCCAGGACTGGGAAGGCTCTGAGGAGGGCAGGGAGGGACGGCGTGCCTAGAGTGTTCCTAGACCCCCAGCAGGCAGGTGTGGCGGTGCTGTGCTGAGAGGTCTCCCCCGGCCCCCACGAAGACCTCACCCCCTTGTCTTGCACAGACTCACACCCGGGTCCAGTGCTATGGTCAAGGTAAGGCAGCTCCAGCCTGCAGCCTGTGCCTCCTGTGGAGGGGGCACCCTGGGAGTGCGGCGTCCGAGGCGCTAGCTTTGGTCTGGCTATGTCCGGCAGAAGGCCCGGTGCCTGCTGCCCGGGCTGCTGAGGGCCAGCTCATCCCAGCTGGGCAGGGGTGCGATGGCTCTGTGGGCAGGACGCGGAAGCTGCCTGAGCAGTCTGCAGTTAGACATGGAGTGTCTCTCGGCCTGAGCCTTCCCCTGAGCCTCGGGTGCGCCCCGGCCCTGGACCCGCATAGTCGGTGGCTACCTGCTGCCAGTTTGGGGGCAGGGCTCTGCAGCCCACTTTGCTTATCTCTGCTCTCCGTCCCCAGAGCCGTGAGTCTGTTTGAATTTCCACTCGGGCCTGAACGAGGGCAGGAGGAGGGGCCCCAGCGGGGTCAGCTACAGGTCCCTCTCCCTCCTTGCTGATCGCTGAGTGTCTCCCTAGACAGACAGCTGGACAAGCCACCTCTCCCCGTCTCTGGCCACAGCAGGGACGTCCATCCAGAGCCCCCTGAGCAAGGGTGTTCCTACCACACGGAGAGTGGGCGAGTTTCAGAGACGGAGCCTGCTGGCCTCTGGCCAGGACTGCAGGGTCGTGAGCTCGGGGGCTGGGGGCTGGGGGTGAATGGCAGGTGTATCAGGACCACCAGGGAAGAACGCTGTGTGTCGCCACATGCACGCTAGGAGTCAGTGCGACCCGTGCTGAGGTCGGGGCGGTGGAGGGGAGCAGAGCTGGCCCTCCCATGGCGTGAGAGGTTGGAAGGAGACATAGACAGAAAAGCGCCCCCCCGCCCCAGACCCCCAGAGTCAAAATGAACAAGCAAGGAACCGGAGGTGGGTCAAAGGTCAAGGTCAGTAGCTCAGAGGGTGATGCAAACTGAGCTCCTGTTCCCAGAGAGGGAGAGACAGACAGAGAGAGAGGTCTTCCATCCTCTGGTTCACTCCCCGCTTGGCTGCAGCGGCCGAGGCCGGGCCGGACAGGCACATGGCCATCGGAGTCGGTGGTCCGAGCAGCTCAGATGGAATGGGGCAGGGCTGCTGCCTCGAGGCCTTGATGGGGGTGGAGGCCTGAACTTGTGGCCGCTGCTGGAGACAGCGCAGGGTGGCCTGGGCTTCCTTGGTTCTCAAAAGCTGGAACCTAAATTTTTGTGAAATCCATGTGATTTAAACATTTTGGCAGTTAATTCAGATTTTCAAAGGCACACAGAACCTCTGCAGCCGTGCCCAGCCTGGGGGTTGTCTCTCTCCGGCCCTGCCCCTGGCACCCTGGGATAGGACTCTGGGCTGGCTGTGCTATTGCTTTGATCTCTGCCCACTTGGACTCTACCACAGGCTGCTGAGATCCTTGTCCCAGTGGCCCAAGAAGAGAGCGTCTCTCCCAAGACTTTGACTAACAGTAGGTGGGGTTGGATTTCTAGCTCGGGAACTGAATTTTGTAAAACTGGAAACCACTGGATGGAATGGCACCATTCCTTTATTTTATGGTTTTTTTTTTTAAATGTTAATTTTAAAAGTTCATATTTATTTTTTGAAAGGCGGAGAGATAGACATCGAGAGGGACATCTCCCATCCATGGGTTCACCTCCAAAATGTCCCACAACAGTGGGGCTTGGGTCAGGCTGAAGCCAGAACCTGACAGTCTGGGTCTCCCGGGTGGATGGCAGGAACCCAGCTGCTTGCGCCATCACCTGCTGCCTCCCAGGGCTCATTAGCGGAAAGCCAGACTCAGGATTGGAGCTGAGACTAAAATCCAGGCACTCTGATACGGGGTGCCCGTGTCCCAAGTGGTATCTTAACCACTACGCCCAACGCCTGCCCTGCTTTGTCCCTGGATGGGGAAGCCACCACCTCTAAGGTCAGGGAGGTCCCCAGGGCCCCCAGAGTCCTTTAGGCCGAGGCAAGGGTGGCCTGGTTCACCTGCTCCAGTCTGCAGAGCCCCCAGGTTACCTAGTGTCCCAGTGTTCAAAAAAATGAGTGAGCACTAGGGTGACCACTCTACAGGGTCGAGACAAGGCTGGAACTGACTCCAGAAAGCTCTGGCTGTCCCCGTGCGGTGCCTTAGTGGAGGCCAGCGGCCATAGTGAGCTGTGGGCTCAGGGGCCCCAAAAACAGATTCACGGCAGAGTGAAGCCAGGGACAGGGTGGCACTGAGGAAGGAACCTGGAGGCCTGGCACTCCTGAGAGTATTGGCTGGACGGGTTGAGCAGAGCAACACAGGCCAAACAGGACTCCATTGCAGGCTCCGCTGGTTCTCAGGGCTGTGGGCCCTTCCCGGCCGGAGCATACTCCCTGCGGCCTGGCCCTGGGCTTTCTGGGACCCCTGTGGGGGGCCCTGGCTGAGCATGGGCCCACGCTGAGCCTCTAAGCTCCAGGGAACTGCCCAGGCCCACGGCTTCTGGAACACTGTACCAGGTTCGGCTCTTACAGACAGCCTGGGCACTCCTCCAGGGCCTGTCTCCTGCCTCCTCCTTCAAACTTGCACCTCAGGGACCGGCAGTGCGGCTCAAAGCACACAGGACTGAACCGCCCACGTCTGAATCTGTGCTTCTCCCCTCACCAGCTGCCTGGCCTTAGCCAACTTGACCGTGGCAGCCTCAGTTTCTCACTGAGCAAGACAGGGACCATCTGGTGCCAGGAGTCACCAGCAAACGGCACAGCTCACGGCAGCACGTAAATGACGCCTGGCACCAGGGGGAGCTCCACGACGTTGGGTGCCTCGGCTGTAGAGACCTCAGCGGTTGGCTTCCCGCTGGCCAGGCTGTGGCGGCGGTCGCCTGACCAGTGCTTTCATTTGATAGCTGCCTGAAGATGCTCGCGTCTGAGGCCGTATCTGGAGACGGGACTCGCCATGAGCTGTGTTGCTAACAGGCTCCTGGTGCCCTCGTTCTGGCCCCCTGGCTGTCCGGGACATGACGGCAACAGGTGGAGTGGGACAGGAGGAAGTGGGACCGTAGTGGGAAGAGTGGCCCATCCACTCATCCCCAGGGGCCTTGGGGACGCTAGCGCAGGTGCCTGTCAGCCTGGCGGGAGGAGACAGAGTCCCGTCAGGAAAAGTAAAGTCGAAAGTGCTAAGTGGGTCGAAGAAAAGATGAGGAGCGTGAGACAGGACATTGTTCTGCAAACTCTGTGAGGCTTGACGGAGTTAATTTTTTTGAGCACTTGAAGGAAGAACTTTTTCCATCCAGGGTGTTATAAATGACAGGGCTTACCACCCTAAAGGGTTACAGTCACGGAGACAGCTTTAGGTAAACGCCAGGATGATAAGTCTGGTGCGTTGTTAATGGAGCCACCCTGGCCTTTGGGAACAACTATGGAAGCAGCTGCCAAGCTTGGCCGCGTGCTGTCCGCGCCCATGGGGTCTGCTTTCCAAGGAACAGAGCCAGGCTGGAGGGGCCCATGGGTGGGCAGGGGACTTGAAGAGTTGCAGACGCCCAAGGGGCGAAGTGTGCTCTTTCCCGGGGGTTACTCCCTGGATGGAAGCCAGCGGGAGCCAGTTAACGGGAGGACGTCGGCACGATGCAGCCATGCTCAAGGGACAGCCCAGCCTCACCCTGGACGAGGCTCTCATTCCTGGCACGGTGGGCAGGTGCCCCCGGTAGGACGTGGGAGAGGGCACTCAGGCCCTGGTTGCAAGGCTCCCCATCAGTGAATCTCCCAGGTTCTCTCACCCTGGCAGCGCCATCATTGCTTTTTGGTCCCTGGGTAAAAACTGTGTCCTGGGAAAGTGGGATGTCAGAAATGGGCTTTGTTGGAGGGGTGGGAGGACAGGAAAAGTTCTGAGCTGTAGGGAAGGGGGTCAGCCAGGAGTGGCTAAGGCAGTGTGGAGGCCTCGGGCGGGGCAGAGTCACAGCCCAGCGCCAGGACAGACCCATGGGACACGTGCCTAAGAGGCAGTGGTCTGGAGGTGCCCCTGGAATCCCTGTGTTGGAGACGAATCCTCTTGTCACTGGACTAGCAGGCGGGGCCTGCGGGAGGGGGTTGGGATTGGATGTGGGGTCCTCAGTGCTGTATCCGAAGGGGAAGAGAGCCCGAGCTAGCACCCAGGCTCTGCCTCGCCCCGGTGCCCTCCGCCAGCACCCGGCAGAGGCCCTCACCTGCAGCTAGAGCCCTGCTCCTGGGTTTCCTGAGACGCGAGCTAAGGAAGCCGCTGTTCACACACGACCCCGTCCGTGGCACTAGGACACGGATTCCAAGGGGATTCCGTAAAACGGTTGTAGCAGGAAGAGTCGAAAGATTTGAAATGACAGTGCAGGATTAAAAAGTAATGTAGGTGCTAGGCTCTGTGCTAAGTACTGTACCCATCAACCCCCGTTAGGCCTGAGCCTAAAGGAGCAGTTGCCAGGCCTGTCCTGTGGGGAGCAACTCGGACTATACTGTTACTGGAATTAAGACTTATTCTATGCATCTGCTCTCCCACAATATGGCGCTGGGAGAGAAGAAAACAGCTTCTACACAGCTGCCTCCAGTTCAGCCAATAAACTGTAGGACTTGCTCCTGATTGGAGGAGAGCAGCGTGCTCGGCATGTGGGCAGCCGAGTTGGGATTGGCGGAGGAGGACTATATAGGAGGAGAGAGACGGCATGCACCAGGAACATCTAAGGGGAACACCTGTGCAGCCCCCGAGAGAGCCGGCCGGCGGTGTGCCGCTCCCCTGCGGAAGTGGGGAATGTGGCCAGGGGGAACCGCCCTTCCACGGAGGTGGAAGGGACAGTAGCCAACCCGGGAAGAACCAGCAGCAAACCCGGGGAGGGCCAGGCAGACGAAAGAACAGCGCAGGGTCCTGTGTCGTTCCTCCACGAAGAGGGGGAGCGACATGTCCCTCTTAGGAAAGGCATGGAGCTTCAGAGGATCTGCGTCTGCTCCAGGGTCCCAGCCTGGAGAGGAGCGAGCTGGACTCGGGGCCTGTGCTCCTACCACCCGCCCACTGCAGCCCAGGTGCGCGGAGGTGAGATTGAGAAAGGACTGTGGAACCGGAGAATGTTCTTGTGAGTCTTGCTCTGAGCAGGGTACCAAGCGTTCCCTGAGGGGTGGGTGCAGGTTCCCCCAGCCAGGCCCCGAGATAGGCAAGAGAAGCATTTTCTCGGGGCGGGTGTTACGGCGCAGAGGGTCGAGCCTGCCTGGGACACCCACACCCCACACCAAAGTGCTGGTTCAAATCCAGGCCACTGTTTCCGATCCAGCCCCTGCTGATGCGCCTCCAGACACTTCAGACCATAGCACCTGCCCTGGGAGGCAGCAGAGGGTGGCCCAAGTGCTTGGATCCCTGCCACCCACGTGGGAGACCTGGGTGGAGTCCCCGGCTCCTGCTGTGCCCTGGCCCAGCCCTGGTTGTTGTGGCCACTGGGGGAGTGAACCAGTGATAGAAGATCTGTGTGTGTGCATGTGTGTGTGTGTGCCTGCCTTATAAATAAATTTTTGGGAGGGAAAATTGAGCACTTTCTCACTGGCAGCTCGTGCAGTAGCTGCTGGGACCAGGGGCTCCAAGTGGAAAGTGTATTCCTAGGAGACAGAGGAGAGAGACGAATTCCCTTCTCTGGGTAAACTGAGTGATGCAACCCCTGACCTTGGAGTCTGAGGCCAAGGTGGAGTGTGGCAGTCACAGGGGAGGAGTGATGAGGGTGCTCCGGGGACAATGGATTTCTGTGGGATGTGTCCCTCGCAGCTGGGGAAAAAACGTGTGTGGAGCAGATGGCCCCAGACGAGGATCCACAGGATAGTAACTGGAGGATGGTAAGATTCCGGAAAGTTGTGGATGTGGCTTGAAAATTTAGATGGGGTGAGAAAGATGGGCAACACACAGAGTTCTCTTGGCCCGCTGTCTCTTCCTGCCAGCTTGCTCGTTTGCAGCTCAGCTCAGCAGCCCGACTCCTGGTGACAGAGCCCAAGAGGTAGGCAAGCAGCAGGAGTTCTGCACTCCCGTGAGACCCCGAAAAGCCGCCTGCTCTCTCAACTCTAGAAGGGAACATTTAGGGCACCCGGCCTGCTTCATAGTTAGGGGAAGATGGCAACAAGCAGTAGTTACTGTTGGGGCCAGTCCCAGTGAGAGAACACGGAAGACTGACTGCTGAGATCTCCCGAGGCGCCCCACTGAGCTCGCTGGGGGCCAAGGTTGGGGCTGGGCAGTGACTGCTGAAGGTCAAAGGGCAAGGGCAAGCACCAAAATGAATCAGGCGCTGGTGTCAGCCACGTGGCTGCCGTAAGTGGTGATGTAAATAGTTGAGATCAGAAATGATGCGAACTTGGAAATCCGAGCAGCCCAGGAAGTGGTCAGGCGTTGGGTGCAGTGGCCAAGCTGCCCCGTAGGACACCCCCATGCCATAGGGGAGGGCCCGATTCAAGCCCCAGCTCTGTTCCTGCCTCCTGCTGGAGCGCACCCTGGAGGCAGCAGATGATGGCCAAGTGCTGGGGTCCCTGTGACCCACGGAGGAGCCCAGTTTCAGGCTCCTGGCTTCCGTCTGGCCCAGCCCTGGCTGTTGCCAGGGGGAGTGAACCAGCGGATGGAAGGTCTCTGTCCCTCATCTTTTGATTAAAAAAAAAAAGTAAACCCTCAGTTAAGTGTGAATTTCAGATATACAGTGATATTTAGTATATGGTGCAAATATTACATGACATACACTACAAAGTTCATTGTTATCTGAAAGTCAAATCGAACCAGATGCTTCTATTTCATTGGGCAGCCCTAAGTCATAAACAAGCAGCCAACAGGAGGGAAAGTTTCAGAAAATGAAGACTTTTAAATGCCTCAAACCACAAAACTTTGTGTTTTAATATGATCATAAATTTACAGCTGTATTGTATTATGCAAATTTATGTTAAGTTATTCTCTATCTGTCATCATGCTCCAATAAAAATTGTACATATGACATTTAGGGAAAAAAAGGCATCTTCTGATAAGAGTTTGGCTGTGCGTTTCGGTGGCAGGGTTACCCTTGGCTCACCAGGATGCCACAGCCGCCAGGGTACAGAGCAAGGCCCATGCGAGGGCCCCGATGAATCGCTCATAGACTCCTCGAAACAGCCCCGAGAGTGGCCGGCGGATGCTTTCCTCCACGTTAATGCCTTTCAGGAGAAGCACAGCTCGGCACTGACCTAGCAGGAGCAAGCGGCCCTGCCCGGAGCCAGGGGAGACGGGCTGATCCTTCCTCTGGGGCTGTCCCGCTTCACGGCACCCCCACGGCTGCTGGCTGCAGCCTTCGGGGCACCCACAGATGTGCTCCATCAGCCAGTCTGTGGACTGACTGGTGGAGGTCTTTCACGCTGTCATTTTCTGGAAGGTTTCTGATAAACGGGATTGTGGTGGCTGTTGTAGCCTTCATGATTTTCTTTCAAGAGTGTGGAGCAGTGTGTGTGGAAGAAATGCCTGCGGGGGAGCTCAGAGCTCGGGAAAGCCACAGGCAGCCCCGGGTCTGGGGCTGACAGCCAAGCTCCTAGGGCAGACAGGATTGGGAGGCCTGGGAGGTGTGTCCACCCTGCAGTGTCGGGACAGAAAGCCGGTGTGGGCACGTGGCCGGGCACATATAGGATGCAGCGACGGGCTGAATACGGCCTGTGTCACCGGAACTCTCACCCGGCCCTGGGAAGGACACTCGTGGGCCTTACCAAGTGGGCTTTCAGCTCAGCTTTGAGGGCCACGGCGAAGCATGCTGTGAGATACCATGATACATGACAGGTTTTGTGGGGAGCAACTCGGACTAGACTAAGTTACTGAAATTAAGACTTATTCTATGCATCTGCTCTCCCACAATATGGCGCTGGGAGAGGAGGAAACAGCTTCTACACAGCTGCCTCCAGTTCAACCAATAAACTGTAGGACCTGCTCCTGATTGGAGGAGAGCAGCGTACTCGGCGTGTGGGTAGCAGAGTTGGGATTGGTGGAAGAGGACTATATAGGAGGAGAGAGACAACATGCACCAGGGAACACCTAAGGGCAACACCTAAGGAACACCTGTGCAGCCCCCGAGAGAGCCGGCCGGCGGTGTGCCGCTCCCCCGCGGAAGTGGGGAAAGTGGCAGGGGGAACCGCCCTTCCATGGAGGTGAAGGGACGGTAGCCAACCCGGGAAGAACCAGCAGCAAACCCGGGAAGGGCCGAGCAGACGAGAGAACAACGCAGGGTCCTGTGTCATTCCTCCGCGAAGAGGGGGAGCGACATAATGGTGCCGTGACTCGGATAGGAAACCTAGGCAGGGTTTAGTGTCGTTCCTCCACGAAGAGGGGGAGTGACAGGTTTGACATGAAGAGCAGCCTGTCTGAAACCCAAGGGAGGGGTGAATCAAGGATATGGTGGATTTTACATAGAGGTAAACATGGAAATATCAATAATTTTATTTTGAGGCACTCAAGGGTGACAAGGAGAATGCAGATTTGTCAAATGTCAAGTAAAAAAAATCTGGGCTACTTACATTTTTAAGTCGTGTGATCTGTGTACAGATTAGTGCAGTACGTTCACTTCGTTTTTATGGGAAATGTGACTTATCAGGAGCTTGAAGCCGAGGATCCGAGTAAAGGATGCCGTTTCTCCTCGGGTGTCCTCACGGACGTGGTGACAGCAGCCGGGAAGGGAGGGAATACGATTTGGGGAATTCCTCCACGTGGCAGGAGAGGCCGTGGTTCCCCAGGGAAGACGGAGTGTCCGTCCTGGTTGTATCTAAGTGTGTGCTCTGCCCCGGTGGACATGCACCTGCTCCCATCTGCAGCCGTCTACCGTACACCCACGTCATTCCTACAGACAGACTTTGGAGCTACTGGAAATGGGGTTGAGTATTTAAAGTTCATCTCAGTCGCATTTTAATGTTGAGTGTTTACAGTGTGGGGCGGGGGTGGTAGACTCGCCTGGCCCTGTACCCAGTATGGAACGTGTGTGCAGTGAACAGTGGGTCTTCCACTTCTATTCTCAACACTACTTGATGCTGAATACTGCATTCCAAATATCGCTCCTTGATAAAGGCAGAAAAGCAGCAACAAGCTGGGAATGAGATGTGTCCGTCACAGAACCTGTAGCCAACGCGGGTGCTGGGGCTGTCAGCCCCAGGCACAGACGGAGAACCGGGAGGATGGCGCCTCCTGAAATTGTGTGAGGGACCACAGTGGTCAAGACCTCAGAACAGTGCGTCTGTCACGGAACAATGTGTCTGTCACAGATGGTGTGTCTATATCATGGAATGGTGTGTCTGCCATGGAATGGTGTGGCTGCGTCACGGAACAGTGTGTTTGTGTCATGGAACGGTGTGGCTGTGTCACAGAACAGTGTGTGTCATGGGATGGTGTGTCTGTGTCAGAACAGTGTGTCTATGTCATGGGATGGTGTGTCTGCGTCACGGAACAGTGTGTCTGCATCACAGAACAGTGCGTCTGTCACGGAACAATGTGTCTGTCACAGAATGGTGTGTCTATATCATGGAATGGTGTGTCTGCCATGGAATGGTGTGGCTGCGTCACAGAACAGTGTGTTTGTGTCATGGAATGGTGTGTGTGTCAGAACAGTGTGTCTGTGTCATCGGATGGTGTGTCTGCGTCACGGAACAGTGTGTCTGCATCATGGAACAGTGTGTCTGCATCATGGAACAGTGTGTCTGCGTCATGGAACAGTGTGTCTGCATCATGGAACAGTGTGTCTGCATCATGGAACGTGGTATCTGTGATACAGAACAGTGTGTCTTCATCACAGAATGGTGTATGCGTCACAGAACTTGCGCTGTTCCCACCCCCTGCTCCCCAGAGACTATCCCCCCACACTTGGCCAGGAGGGCTCATTTCTGTGTAGAGGTAGTCACCTGATTTCCTAAATCACGTCAGAGTGCTCATGACTGGTCACGGGGCCCCGAGAGTGTTTAGGGTGGTGCCGATCACCATCGGCATCAGCCTGCAGGGCTGCGCCTCTCTCCTAGGCGGCCAGGCTGGGGGACTGTTGAATGGGATTTTTCAGCAAGGGGAAAGTGGGAGGGGGGTGGGCACCGTGCCTGTGCCCGGCAGCCACAGGCACTTTCTCTGTCCAATGCCGAGCTGTGGCATGGGCCTATTCCGGGGGCTCCCTAGGCTTCAGTTGCCTTGCTGTAAGATGGAGAAGCAGTGCCCACCCTCCCTGAGTTGGGGCCTGGCTTGGACGAGTCAGGGTACAGAGCACAGAGCTCTCTCCCTCCGCTCCCTGTCCCCTCCCAAGGACGTCTCTCAACAGGAACAAAAATGGCAGCAGCTGTTAAGGGCTGGTGGGTGACTGTGCAACCAGAGAGGTTCAGACCCAGGAGAGCAGAGGTGGCACTGGCACTGGGCAGAGGGACGAGGTGGCCGTGAAGCTGCAGGACGGGTGTGCCGGGTGCGTGGTCAGTGTTTGCCGACAGTCAGCCCCGTGAAAATCAACCACCAGGAAGAGCAAGCAGGGAAACGCTCCAGCGGGGGGACCCAAGAGAAGCCTAAAGCGGCTGGAGAACTTGCCACAAAGAACGAGAAGAGACTGTTCCCCAGCCAGAGGGGGTCTCTGGGGTGTGAGGTCCCTCTTCCAGGAACGTTCCTGCCTGTATGGGCGGAGCATCCAGGGCCCGGGCGCCTCGGGGATGGCTGCCCCGTGCCCTCAGCTTGCGCCGTGTGGGCCACAAAGAGGATTTGGAAACTCAGGAGGGATCGTGGGAAACTCACAGGAGGAGGGAGAAAGCCCTGCAGGGCCTCTACAGGAAACAGCTCTCCTCGGGGCTCAGAGCCAGACGACATTGCAGATGGTGCTGGCAGAGGGGGCCGATGGTGGGCACAGCGGACATTTGCTCCACGCTGTGAAGGTGCACAGCAGGCGGGTATTTGGCCTAGCGGCCGAGATGCCCGTGCCCGCCCCCTGTGCCTGGGCTGCACACCAGGCTCAGGCTCCTGACTCCAGCTTCCTGCTAATGCAGACCCTGAGGAGCAGTGACTATGGCTCAGCGGGGGGGGGATGTCCCTGCAACCCATGGGGGTGAAGAGTTAAAATTGTATATGTGCAGGTGTAAAAAGTTAAGCTTAAGCTTACAGGTTTAAACCTTCCTGGTGCAGCTGTGAAAATAAGACAGAGTGAAGTAGCACCTTGACAGTAGGGACTCCATTTTGGAGCACTTGAGACTGCATTCTGGGAAAGCAACCCCCCCACCGTGAGACTCTGGTCTGAAACTATGATCTCAAATAGTCGGACAATAGCAGTGCACTACATCACCCTTGGCAGAGCACAAACCCCCCCCCCTTGCGTGATTGCTCAAGCTTAAAAGTAGAAAGGTTGCACTTGGGTTACCTGGGCTAATAATGAAGATGTGATTTGTCTATGTCTTAAGATCATAATTGCTGATTGTAAGATTTTAGCAACCGTGTATTCTCTCCCCCTTCCCGATTTTGCGGTTTTTGCCTTTATAAACGCTATACTTTAGTTCCTCGAGGCTCCTCTGTTCTTGTATGTTCAGAGAGCCCCAACGTGTTGGATCAATAAATCTTTAACCCTTTGCTGGTTGCATGAGAGAAAAGTCTCTTGGAGTCGTTCCTTGGGCGGTGGGCGTTTTCGGACCCTAACAGGGGAGACCTGGATGGCGTTCCCAGCTGCTCGCTTCATTCCTGGCCCAGCCCTGGCTCTGGGACACCTGGGGAGTGAATCGGTGCTTGGGAGCTCGCTCGCTCTCTTTCTGCTTCTCAAATAAATAAATGAAAAAGATAAAAGAGAGCAGTGCAGATACTGCTTCCAGCCCCCCTTTACGGACACGAAGGAGCCCCCACCAGCCGACCCCACGGCACTGAGAAACAGCCACGGAACCACGGAGACGGCGCTGGAGGGGATGCCAAGGCAGCAGGGAGGTGGCAGTGCCGCCGCGAGCTGGGTGCTTCCTGCGTGTCGCTTTCGCAACGCCTCTGTCGTGGTCGGACTTCTGTGTCAACTTGGGCTGCAGTGCCCAGCTAGCTAATCCAACGTGCCTCTCACTGCTGCTGTGCTGTGCGGACCCGCTGACACCCAGCGTCACTGACGGGGCAAGCGAGCCTCGTCCGACCCGCTGAGGGCTTCAAGAGCGAAGCTGAGGTCCGGTGAGGAGTTCAAGCTGCAGCCGCTGCCCTGTGTGAGTGCCCTGCGGACCCGCCGGCCTCCGGTCACATGAGCCAGTTCCTTAGGGTCAGTCTCTCCCCCTCCCCGTCTCTCCATGCCCCCACCCCTGTCGGTTCTGTTCTTTGGAGATCCCTCCCGACATGGACTCTTTCCCTGCCAATGAAATGGAGGTGGTGATAGCACCTGCTTCATAAAAGCTTTGTGACGACCACGTTGCCTCTTTACATAAACTCATTGGTTTAGGGTCTGGCGTATCAGCATCCACCTGTCTTCCTCCTCCTCCTCACCCCCACTGCTGGCAGAGGAGGGGTCTAGGCCAATTTCTTTCCTTTTACAAACAGGGGGACTGAGGTGCAGAGAGGGGGTGGCCGTAGCTAATGTGCCCATCATGCCAAGGCCGTCCCAAACATTAGCCTTAGATTAACTTGCCCTTTACAACAGCCTCATGAGCTCTGTAAGGTTCCTATCCCCATTTCACAGACAGGGGAACTGAGGCACAAGGAGCACATGTCACACTGCCAGTGCACGGAGGCTCCGTGCCCAGTGTGCTCTCCCGGGACGGCATAGTCTCGGGGCCCTGCCTGCCGGAGTGGCGTGCCCCTTGCATTGGCAGCAGTGGAGGCTAGTGTCCCAGAGAGAGGAGGTGGCTCTAGCGAGGGCATCCCCAAGGCCCGGGACTCATGGGAGTCCTGGCAGGACAGCTGGCTGTGCCGATGCCATGAACAGGTTGGTTCTTTTTCAAGAGCACCCCTCCACTCCCCTCCCCTCCTCAGCCACGGAGTCGGCCGCTCGTGGAGGCGAAGTTCTCGCCTGCAGCTAGGAGGTGACGAGTTTATCTTCCTCCTTCCAGTCTTGAGTTACTAATGAAAATGTCTTGGGAGACCCAGCCCGTTGCAGAAAGCCTGGGTGGCTTTCGAAAGCTTGTTCACAACCAGGGGGAAGTGGATTCTCTCTCATCTCTGGAAAAAGGATTCCTTTTGCAGGGTGTCTGTTTTATGTGCCCTGCAGCTCGGGTCTCAGTTTGGTCCCAGCGGGGGGAGGCCAGTGGAGTTTAATTACATTCCTCCTATAGGGAATATTCAAGCAATGAGGCTTTGAAAAACAACTTGTGCTACCAAAAGGGGGAAAAAAACCGAATTACACGAGTGAGAAACAGGCATTGCTCTTTGTGTCCTAGAGACCCAATCTAAATATTTAAATTTTAAAGACAGATTTCTAAATGTTTAACTTCATAAAGCATACACACTGCAGTTCCCAGGGGGGCGGACATCCCTCCTGCTCTGGAATGCTCATTTCCTGGACCCACAGGCTCTGCAGGTGACATTTTCACACGTGCCGTATTCAGTTACAAAACGTCGTCTAGAAAGAAGACAGTGTGCGTGCACACAGCCCCGGAACGGAGTGCTGCCTGCAGTCCTAGGGCAAGACAGACTTACGGGAACCCTGAGGGGGGTGTGTGAGCTTCAGGAAGACATTCAGGAAAGTCCCTTGTGTCTGGACTTCCTAATGTCCCTGCGCTCTCGGCTCTCTGGGACTGGCTGTTAGCGAGCACGGAGCTAGCCCCAGCAGGGGTGATTGCTTGCCGCTCCGATGCTGTGCACTGAAAGAGGAGAACAGGGGCCGCCAGGCGGGGGCCGGCAGAGGCGGGAGCGCTAGGCAGTGAGTTCCTGGAGCACAGCTCTGTGGCCTCCTGTCAGATCCCTGTGCTGGCTGGGAGCTGCCCCGCGTGGCCCTGGGGCCCCCATGGAGCCCAGGTCCCTCCTTTCCATGGCATAGCATGACCTATGGCCAGAGGAGCCCCACAGGACCCGGCTGTAGGATGGGGGGCGGCCCCGGGCGGCCTCACACCTGTCCCCCTTGCTCAGCAACGGCCTCCTCTCCCTCACTGCTGTCTGCTCCTCCTTCTGGCAGCAGGAGCTCGCCGCTGTCCCCAGGGCGCCTTCCCCACCGCCAGGGGAAGAGACGCGCTGCATGCATCCCCTCGCACTCACAGCCCTGTTTCTCTCCAGCCCTCCATGTGCCAGGCACTGTTCTGGGGCCTGGGATGCAGCCGCGCCCCCAGCAGGGGAGGCACCCGGCTCTGGTGGGGCCTGCAGGTCCGTGGAGAGTCGATTCTGTTGGCCACACCTGAGTAGGAGTGCAGCTAGTGGATACTGGGTCAGAAGGCAGGCAGGCCCTCCTCATGGGGAATGTGAAGCCTGGCGGCACAAAGGGTTTTTGCAGGGAGAAGCTGTCTAAGTTCCTCCCGGATGACACCATTCTGGGTGCTCCTGCACCACCCGTGTGAAGTGACTCTGGTCAGCAGAGCTGGGGGAGGTGCAGCGGTGAGGGTGCTGTTTGGGACACCCTTATCTTACGGGTTCAGTCCTGCCTCCGCTCCCAGTTCCAGCGTCTCGCCAATGCTCACCATGAGAGGTCATGGCTCAAGTGCTTGCGTCCCTGCCACCCATGCGGGAGACCAGCGCTGAGTTCCCGGTTTCTAGCTTCAGACTGGTCCAGCTCTGGCTGTTGTGGGCATTCGGAGAATTGGGAGGTCTCCATCTGTCTCCCTACCTTTCAAGTAAACTTAAAAAATAGAGAGTGGAGGGAAGTTTTTAAAAAATGTATGTGTTTATTCTGCTATTTCAGAAGCTGATTGCTGGGAGTGAAACTCATTCTTTTGATGCTTAAGAGCCCATAATGCAGCCGAAGTTAAATCAGTGAGCCACTCCGCCGTGAATCCAGTTCAGCGCCAGCCGGACCCGCAGGACCCTGAACGTCACCTGTGGCGCTGACGCTCCTGAGTTTACTTCCAATTCTCGCTTTTCTGGGTTGACGTGCCCCAAGCCCACTTGACTGCTTAGCAAAGCCGGGCCCTCCAGAGGCCCGGGTACCGACGCGGACGGCGTCAGGGCTGAGCTGTTTGCAGGCCACCTCTCCCCCTGCTCGGCAGGGACTTCCAGCATTCACTGCGAACATTGCGAAGTGCTGAAGTGGGGCACTTGATGAAGCCCGGCAGCCCAGAGACAGCACCTGCCAATCCTTCCTGCTCCTCAGCCTGCCGCCCGCTTTGCCACCTTGCTCTGTGCCATTACCAGCTGGCACGTGGGCAGTGGGCAGGGAGGAGCAGGAGTGATTCTGGCTCTCTCCGGATCTGGGGATGGAGCCAAGGGAAGGTTAAGGGCAAGGGAGACGGGAAGGAGACAAAATAGGGCTACGAGCATCGCAGGAGAGAGAACAGGAAACAGAGAGATGGGGTAGGAGGAGAAGGGAGAGGAAGAGGAAGAGGCGGGGCACCGCGACCTGTATAACACAGGGCCTGGGAGTGGAGCTGAGGCTCCTGGGAGCAGGCCCACTCGGCGGAGGGAGGGTCCTGCTTCCCAGAGCTCACTGTGGGCACGGGTTTGGATGTGGAGCGTGGGAGAGTGGCAGAGGTACAGCTCTGATGACCCCGCAGGGGCACGGCCTAACTTCCCCGTCCAGGTCAGACGCTCCCAGGAAAGCACAGGAAGTGGCCCCATTGAAGCTGCCGGGTCCTCTGTGAGACAGCCCACTTTGTTCTTGGCATCAGAGAGAGGGCAGCGCAAGTTCCCCTTGGCCACTGCCTCTCACCTGGCCTCCAGAAGCGCTGGCTCGCGCGGCCGAGGGGCCACATGGAGCTCCCTCCCTGAGGGGCGTGCCTGGGGGCTCCTGGGGGCTACAGGTCCCCGCTCTGTGCACACATCCGGCAGAAGGCTCTGGCCACCACCTTATCTGCTTGGAAAATGACCTGGAATCAACTCGAAAGCTCCTCCTGGCCTCCCCCCACGGAGAGCATTTAAGGAAGCAAGAGAATTTTAGTATTTAGAAGGATTAACGTACTTCTAATGTGTGTTGTGACTGGATAATTCCTACATCACTCTGTCTCCCACTCAGTATACTGAGGACATTGTTACTGGAACAATCTTGGAGCCGTCACAGTGTATTAGCAAAAGGCAAATTATTGCAGAACATCCGTGCTTTAACCAGGAGTCCCATCTGGGACTGCTTCCAAAGTTTGTGGAAGAGTGGAGCCAAAGGTAAGCTGGAGTGGACGTCTGGCACTTAGGGGCCTGCTTGGGACGCCCACACCCGGTACTGGAGGCCCCGCACTCCAGCTCCCTGCACGTGTGCACCCTGCCATGCAGCAGGCGGCGGCTCAAGGACTTGATTTCCTGCCACCCACATGGGAGACCTGGATTGAGTTCCCAGCTCACAGCTTTGGGTTGGCCCAGCCGCAGCCGCAGCCTCAGCCGTTGTGGGCATCTGGGGAGTGAACCACTAGATGGGAACACTCTCTCTCTCTCTCAAATAATAAAAAGATAAGTTGGTTTTGTTGCAAATAGTTTTGAAATCCATGTGTAGCTTGTTCATAATACACATTTTCTTTTAAAAATTTATTTATTTGTTTGAAAGACATATATAGACAGAGAGGGAGAGACAGAGGGGGATCTTCCATCTGCTGGTTCACTCCCTAGATTGCCACAACAGCTGGGGCTGGGCCAGGCTGAAGCCAGGAGCCAAGAGTATCTTCCAGGTCTCCTATATGGGTAGCAGGGACTGAAGGACTTGGGCCATCTTCTGCTTTCCCAGGTGCACTAGCAGGGAGCTGGATCGGAAGTGGAGCAGCCAGGACATGAACTGGTGCCCATATGGGATACTGGTGTCACAGGCGGCAGCTTTACCCATTACAGCACAGTGCTGGGCCCTGTAACACATTTTCCATGAACTTTCTGAAGACCCCTCACATATCACAAGTGAGAGAGAGAGAGCGAGAGAGAGGGAGAAATGTATGGTTTAGTGCCCAGCTCCTCACAGTGTGGGCCATGGACCAGCAGTATGATTCACCTGGATGCTTGTTAGAGATTTACACTCCCAGGCCTTGGTTCTTTGTTCCAAATTCTTCCCCAGGCCTTGTTGTTTTGTGTTACTAAATCAGAATCTGCAGGGGCTTTTTAAAAAGTTTTTTATTTATTTGCAAGGCAGAGAGAGGGAGAGAGGGAGAGAGGGAGAGAGAGAGAGAGAGAGAGAGAGATCCCCCACCTACTGCTTCATTACTCTAATGTTTACAAAGCCAGGGCTGGGCTGGGCTGAAGCCAGAAACAGGGAACTCCATCTGGGTCTCCCTGTGGGTGGCAGGGGCCCAGGTACTTGCTGCCTCCCAGGGCGCTCATTAGTAGGAAGCTGGAATTGGGAGTGGGGCTGGCCCTTGAACCCAGGCACTCTGATAGAGAAGGGGGGTGTCCCATGTGGCATCTCCCCCATGAGCCAAACGCCTGCTGCCAGGACCTGCGGGTTTAGTGAGGCACCCAGGTGGTTCCTAGGCGCTGATTCTGGGAGCCTCCAGCTGGGGGCCGGCGTTGCAGCCGCTCTCGCCTGCTCATCTCCCAGTCCTTGGCTTGATTCACTGGGCTGTCAGCTGTCTCTGTGGCAGACTCCTTCCTAGGCATTGCTGCTTTGTGTTCTGACATCCGGGCTGGGACATGGAGGGCAGGGGAGGATCCAGGAGAACCAGGAAGGCTCGTGTGCCTGGGTAACGGAGCTGATGGGGGGCACCGAGCCAGCAGGCAGGTCCCCAGCAGCCCTCCCGAGGGGGCCAAACCCTCCGCAGTGTTTCACGGGGTCTCCGCGTGAGCCGCGCCCCGCTCCCTGAGTGACGGCTGCCCCTGTGTGGGATCCCAAATGGGAGACGTTGTTTTCCCATAGGGAGGATGAATCTGGTTAAGCTATTCATGTCTTCCACCCAGGCCTCCCCCTGTGACCAAGGCCATGTATTTATGAAATAGCTGGTTGGGGGTAAAACGGCTATTTTTTTTTTTTTATTTTTCTTTGCAGCTGTGGAATGTGCTGCTTTCCCCTGAGCTCCTCTGGCTGCTTCAAAGAGCAAATCCCCACCCTGCTCACATTAGCAGCATGAGCTAATCAGCTGAAATAACCGGCGCGGAGTGTTCTTTTATCCTTAAGAAGAGAGTAAGTTGTATTTTAATTAGATATTTATAATGGCTACAGAGCAGCTCTTCAAGAGAAGTTTTTAAAAATTTGGCCTTCCTTCTAAGGCATAACTGTGTTCAAATTATCCTAAAGAGAGGCCATATATCAATCCGATCCAGTTTGTGATAAATTTACAACGGCGTTCTGCACAGCAGATTTATAACAACAATTAAGCAGAAGGAAAATGGGTCATAAATTTTGGCTGGCAGAGCCCAGCACCAAAGAGAAGAAAGGAGAATGGTGTGGCCAGATCAAAAGTCAATAATTTCAACATAAAGTGCAAAAGCTATAGCAGAGACAATTTAGGGGGAAAGAAGTTGGCTTTTTTTTTCACTCATCCTTTTCAGCATCATATATTGGAGAAAGCAACGAGGCGCCCCTATGACGAAGGTCTTGCCGAAGAGCAGGGTGTGTGTGTGTGTAATTTTACAAATTGTGCCAATGGCACACACCTTCCCCCTCCTCTGTGGCTGAGTTTAATGAGCGTAGCTCCTGTCATAGAGAAGGCCAGATGGGGAAAGAGTGCTCCCAGAGGTCGGGTGACTTGAGACACAGGTGCTGCGGTCTGGATGCTCGTCCCTCAGAATGAACGTGTTGCAAACTGCCCCCCAAATCCACTGGTTGAGGGTGTTTACAAGCAAGGCCTCTGGAGGTTACCAGCATCAGATGAGCTCCAAGCCACTATGGACATCCCCTCCCCCTGCTCTGTGATGACATCCCCTCCCCCTGCTCTGTGATGACATCCCCTCCCCCTGCTCTGTGATGGGAATCCCCTTCTCCCCGGCTCGTGAATGAAATCCCCCTCCCCCCTGCCCTTGGATGGGCCACCCTCCCCCCCCCCTGGGGAGAAACCCCCCCCCCCTGCCCCGGGGAAGAAACCCCCCCCCCCCCCCCGCCAGTGAAACTACCCCCCTCCCCCCGATCAGTAGAAGATACTCACCCCCCCCCTCTGTGATGACATCCCCTCCCCCCTGCTCTGTGATGACATCCCCTCCCCCTGCTCTGTGATGGGCATCCCTCCCCCTGCTCTGTGATGGGCATCCCCTCCCCCTGCTCTGTGATGGGCATCCCCTCCCCCTGCTCTGTGATGGGCATCCCCTCCCCCTGCTCTGTGATGGGCATCCCCTCCCCCTGCTCTGTGATGGCATCCCCTCCCCCTGCTCTGTGATGACATCCCCTCCCCCTGCTCTGTGATGACATCCCCTCCCCCTGCTCTGTGATGACATCCCCTCCCCCTGCTCTGTGATGACATCCCCTCCCCCTGCTCTGTGATGACATCCCCTCCCCCTGCTCTGTGATGACATCCCCTCCCCCTGCTCTGTGATGACATCCCCTCCCCCTGCTCTGTGATGACATCCCCTCCCCCTGCTCTGTGATGGGCATCCCCTCCCCCTGCTCTGTGATGGGCATCCCCTCCCCCTGCTCTGTGATGACATCCCCTCCCCCTGCTCTGTGATGACATCCCCTCCCCCTGCTCTGTGATGGCATCCCCTCCCCCTGCTCTGTGATGGCATCCCCTCCCCCTGCTCTGTGATGACATCCCCTCCCCCTGCTCTGTGATGGGCATCCCCTCCCCCTGCTCTGTGATGGGCATCCCCTCCCCCTGCTCTGTGATGGACATCCCCTCCCCCTGCTCTGTGATGGACATCCCCTCCCCCTGCTCTGTGATGACATCCCCTCCCCCTGCTCTGTGATGGGCATCCCCTCCCCCTGCTCTGTGATGGACATCCCCTCCCCCTGCTCTGTGATGACATCCCCTCCCCCTGCTCTGTGATGACATCCCCTCCCCCTGCTCTGTGATGGGCATCCCCTCCCCCTGCTCTGTGATGGGCATCCCCTCCCCCTGCTCTGTGATGGGCATCCCCTCCCCCTGCTCTGTGATGGGCATCCCCTCCCCCTGCTCTGTGATGGGCATCCCCTCCCCCTGCTCTGTGATGACATCCCCTCCCCCTGCTCTGTGATGACATCCCCTCCCCCTGCTCTGTGATGACATCCCCTCCCCCTGCTCTGTGATGACATCCCCTCCCCCTGCTCTGTGATGACATCCCCTCCCCCTGCTCTGTGATGACATCCCCTCCCCCTGCTCTGTGATGACATCCCCTCCCCCTGCTCTGTGATGGGCATCCCCTCCCCCTGCTCTGTGATGGGCATCCCCTCCCCCTGCTCTGTGATGGGCATCCCCTCCCCCTGCTCTGTGATGACATCCCCTCCCCCTGCTCTGTGATGGGCATCCCCTCCCCCTGCTCTGTGATGACATCCCCTCCCCCTGCTCTGTGATGACATCCCCTCCCCCTGCTCTGTGATGACATCCCCTCCCCCTGCTCTGTGATGGACATCCCCTCCCCCTGCTCTGTGATGACATCCCCTCCCCCTGCTCTGTGATGACATCCCCTCCCCCTGCTCTGTGATGACATCCCCTCCCCCTGCTCTGTGATGACATCCCCTCCCCCTGCTCTGTGATGACATCCCCTCCCCCTGCTCTGTGACGACATCTCCTGCCCCGTGTTGGGGAGAGGCATCCCCTCCTCGTGCTAGATGATGACATCCCCTCGCCGTGCTTTGGTATGGACATCCATTTCCCCTGCTTTGTGATGACATCCCCTCCCCCTGCTCTGTGATGACATCCCCTCCCCCTGCTCTGTGATGACATCCCCTCCCCCTGCTCTGTGCTAGGCCGTCTGTGAGATGCCGTGAGACTTCGCTGAGACTCCCGGGACAGAGACCCTTGCTTCTTCGTGCTGCACTTGGACCTGCCCCCACTACTCCATCCACAGCCTCTCCAGAGGTGGGAGGCGTTAGAGGAAAGCTTGTCAGAGCAAGCTGCACCCACCAGGGAAGGGTGTTGCCCCCGTCGCAGGCCACAGCAGCGGGTGGCCAGCAGCACCGCTCCCCAAGACAGGGCAGCCCCCCGGTCTGGCCTTCCATTCTTCTCGGTCCTCTGCTTACACGGCAGGATTGCTAACTCGCTCTCTCTGCCTAACTGAGCCGAGGAAAAATGACTGGAGAGAGATAGAGAGATTGTGGGGCAGAGGGGGTCAGCGAGGGAGTGGCCACAACTGGTGTGGCCAACAGATGTGTCTCCCGTGGACCCTGTGGACACCACGGAAGTCATCGAAGCTCGGGCCATTTTGCCAGTAACCTGCCCAGGACAGTGACTGCTTCGAGGAGATTCCAGAACCAAGACCCGAGGGCGGGAGTGGCCGTGGGAGGTGGGGTTGTCCCAAGAGCCACTTGAATAGTTCCTACATCTGCTACATGTCAGAAGCCCCTCAGGGAAGGTGCTGCGAGCCGCCCAGCTAGGGAGGATTTGAGGATCTGTGTGCAGGTCCTGGTCCCCAGGAGGACAGTGCGGGATTGGGGGAGAGGTAGGAGAGCGAAAGAACAGGGCACAGCCTGCCCAGGGCCTTGGCCAGGGCCTCGGGTCCGCCTGAGCCAGGAGGAAGAGAGCATCAGGCCGGGCCTGGGCCCGGGCCTTCCATCTGCACCACACTGGGCTGGCCTTCGTGGGCCTCAGAATGGCCCGGAACCTTTCGGACTTGTCCAGGGTATCGTCAAAGGCGCACACTCGGAGGAAATCAGCGGAGACAACAGGAGGCGGCTTCCTGTTGCACTTCGCTCAGCTCAGACTTCAAAATGTCGGTCACACAGCGGCCAGGAGACCCTGAGGGGGACCCGCCCCCCGCCTGCGAGTGGAGCTGCGGGACAGGGAGAGAGCCTGCGCCCTGCACCACGCTGCACCGCGGGGTTTGCAGTTTCCAGTCGGTAAGCCTGCGTTTCCCTCCCTGACCTGACCAGAGGCCGCACTATCCTCTCGTTTCCCTGGGGGAGGGCTGAAGCTCTCTACATTTTCCCAGGGCGCTGCCGTAGGGGACACAGCCCTCAGACGGGTGCCCGGGGATGGCGGGTGGCCTGGGAACATGGCCCTGGGGAAGAGACGCGGTGCTCAGACGGGTGCCCGGGGGTGGCGGGGCACTGCTGTAGGGGACACAGCCCTCAGACGGGTGCCCAGGGATGGCGGGTGGCCTGGGGAACATGGCCCTGGGGAAGAGACGCGGTGCTCAGACGGGTGCCCGGGGGTGGCGGGGCACTGCTGTAGGGGACACGGCCCTCAGACGGTGCCCTAGGGATGGCGGGTGGCCTAGGGGACACGGCCCTGGGGAAGAGACGCGGTACTCAGACGGGTGCCCTGGGGACGGCGGGTGGCCTAGGGGGACACGTCCTGGGGGAAGAGACTGGGGTACTCAGACGGGTGCCCGGAGGACATGGCCCAGGGGAAGAGATGCCAGTGCTCAGACGGGTGCCCGGGGATGGTGGGTGGCCTAGCGGTTCGGATGCCCAAGTCCCGCCTCCGTTACCTGGGTTACTGCCTGGCTCTTGTTCCCGGCTCCAGCTTCCTGCTACACACAGAGGAGACCTGGGTGAGGCCCTGGCTCTGCTTCAGCCCCATTTGGAGGTCATGGCAGGCATCTGGGGAATGAACCAGGGAATGGGAGCTTTCTCTCTCTCTCAAAAAACAAAAACAAAAACAAAAACCAGTGACCTCATTGGTGGGTCTTCTTGGTGGGTGTGTGCTCTCCAGGGTGTCACAGGAGAGAGCCCACAAAGCCCTGGTGTACAGGGTCTGCAGCCCCGCGGCTGGCGTTAACTGGCACCCAAGAAATATTTGTTGAATGGAGAGCAGCAGGAATATTCTAACAAGTCCTACTTTACATGCAAATTTTCAGGAATATTTTCGGGAAAATATCTAATGTGTGAACATGTAATCTGCATTTCCATGTCCTGACAGATGGCCCATATTAACAGAGCTCTGACTAGGGTGAAAAAAAACTTGAAAAGAAAACACACAAATACTCATTGAATGGGTACCTCGTGCAAGGCAAAACAAAGCAGTGATCAGCTGTGGCTACAGAGTTCATTTGTTAAGACAGTCTCTGGAGTGCACCTTGGGCTTAGCAGGAGGGCTGGCTGATGCCCGCTCCCACGTCGGAGAGCCCGTGTGCACCGCCTCCCTCCTGCGCCCGACTCCCGCTTCCTGGGGACTGAGGGCCCCATGCTAGGCTGGGGCAGTGAAGGAAGCCAGAGTTTAAGACGGCATCAGGCCACGGGCAGGGGCCCATGCACGGGGCCTTGGGTGGAAACCCTCGCTGAGCCCTCCTCACGGATTAACATGACTGTGACAGGGGACGTGGCTGGGGGCAAGGCCTCCCAGCCCTGCGTCCTGGACTTGGTTGGTTGCCGCCTACCATTGCTCTCATGGGTTTCATCGGGAAGGGAGGTGCTTAAAGGCGCCGAGGGATTTGCACTTGGCAGTTGGCCTCCCTGCGTCTGAGGACCATGACTTCTTCCTCTCAGCATCCTTGCCCCTCCCCAAGCCTCTGCCTGGTCCCTTCTGCCCCTGGGCACTCTGGGATGCCTCGGAGGCGTCCACGCGCCCTGTCTTTGGTTTGCTTGAGAGCGGGGAGCTGCACTCCCTCTGCGGCTCTCCTGAGCAAGCTCTGTGCTTCCCGTGGGGAGTCACACGACTTGAGCGTGGTTGATCCCAGGGCTGGGGTCTGACTGGCCTAAGCCCACAGAGGCCCCGCTCCTTCCCATGACCGCAACCCCGGGTCGAGAGCCGGCAGTGCCCCAGTCGGAGCGGTGCTCACCACGCTTGCTGGGAATTCTAGGCCACAGACCTCCCTCCGCTGCTTGCCGTGAGCTGAGAGGTGTGCAGGCCCAGGAGGCTTCAGGAGGACTGCGGAGGGGGCCGACGTGAGGACACAGCAGGAGCGGTGTGGGAGAAGGTGGGTCCTGAGCACCTCTGTGAGGTCTGGACAGCCTTGCGAGGCCACATCTGTCCCTGCGCTGCTCATCGTCTGCACTAACGCGTCTGAATCCCTTAGTGTTTGGTTGGGATTTTTGCTTTGTTTTTCTTGAATGCATTTGGGTTGGGGTTTTGTTACCTGCGACCAAACGCATCCTAATAGGTGCGTGTTCTTCCGGCTCCCCTGTTTCTCTTGCGGTCATGTACCCCAGTGATTTTGGTCTCTACCCCCACCCCAACTTAAAAATAAACAAACAGCGACCTATGTGGCAAGATGGGCGGCGCGGTTGTGTGGGCTCGTGGCTTGTAGAGACTCCGTGCTCAGAGTATTGCTGGTCCGTGTCAGTCTGGAGGGAAGCCCTGTCCTCTCCACATTTCATCAATGACTTGGGTGAGACAGGAGGCACGCTTAGCAAGTCTCGGATGACGCAACGCCGCAGGAATTGCTAATGTGACAGATGGCGGAATCAAGACTCAAAATTATTTTGACTGACTGGAGCAGTAATAAGGATAAATACAAACTCCTGCATCTAGGCTCAAAAAATCAGTTGTATAAGCAGGGGGTGGAGGGGTGTGGCTTGGCAATTGTCCTAACGACATTGAACTTGAAGTTGACCACAAACTCAGGTTGAGCCACAAGCTGAGGCATTAGTAGTACAGTTAACGCAGCTTTCAAGTATTTAAGGAGTGCTAGGGACGGATCACGCCTCGACTTCCCCAGTAGGATAGAGAAGTGGAATTTTCTGGCAAGTAGTTTCCAGCTCATTGTATGAAAATTTTTTCTAGTAGTTCTAGTAACAGAACAGGCCACCTTCCGAAGCTGTGAACACACCAGTGATTCCTTCCAAAGGTCACGGGAGGGTTCTGTTACGGTGATCTTGCTTTACAAGCACGGATTTTTCACAATGATTCCCTTTAACAACTCACAGATCAAAGCAAAGCACGCAGACACACGCAGCCCAGGCTGCAAGTCCTCCAGGGGGCACCTATCTAGAAGGAATGGCGGGTCTGGACTTGGCGCTGCCTGTCCCACTGTCCCCTCCACCCCATGTGGACCTCCTCCCAGGCTCTGCCAGTCTCCTGCCGGGGCAGCCCTGGCTCTTGGCTGCCTCTGTCCCTTCCAGCCCCTGCCATCTGACCCCGACTCCTTCCTGGGGCTTTGCAGCTCTCCTGAGTCCAGTCTGGTTTCGGGGGCTGCCCCAGATGGTGAAGGTTTGTGCTCAATGTGCCTTTTTCTTTCTCTGAGTCACCTTTCACTTGCTAACCGAGAGAGAGAGAGAGAGAGAGAGAGAGAGAGAGAAGCAATGGCCCCATTGTCCCTGACGAGCTTACAATGGGATCTTAGCAAGTTATCAAGATCAAGTTTCCCTTCTGTGCTCCCAGAGTCCCCTGCCCTGTGGACGTCCCGGGGCGCCCGGGCCCAGCGTGTACTCACGTGTTTCTCCTTGAACCGGTCTACCTCTCTCAGAAGCCTGTCTTGGCAGTCAGGGTTGGTGGCCAGCAGGTAGGTGGCGAAGGAGAGCGTGTTGGTGATGATCTCGTAGCCAGCGATGAGGAAGATGCAGGCCTGGCCCACAATCTCATCCACGGTCAAGGGCTGGGACAAGGCTGCGGGCGGGTGCTGCAGGGAAGCGGCCCCTGGTCTCTCGGCGGGGAGCACCTGGCTGACGATGTCGAAGGCCGCCAAGCTCGCGGGGCGGGCGCAATGCTGCGCCTCCAGGATCATTTGCAGGAAGTCTCTCCGCCTCTAGGGACAAGAGGAGACACACACTTGGGCCTCAAGGAAGTGAGGCTTCGTGGGGACCAAGGGACCCCGTGCATGGAGCGTCCCAAGAGCACAGGAGGAGCAAGGAGCCCCACTGCTGGGCTGAGACGGAAGTCCCTTCCCTGTCCCTCTGTGTCGCACTGGCCAGAGTCTAGGGCAGGGCTGGGAAGCTTTTTTTCTGCCAAGGGCCCTTGGGATCATGGGCCATACGAAATTCTCAGCTTAAAAATTAGCCTGCTATGGGGTGATTGAATTTCGAGTCCCGCCTGCAGCAGCCTTGGCAAGGCCAGGCCAAATGATTTCACAGGCCTCACACGGCCAGACGTTCCCCGGCCCTGGTCTAGCGCATCCAGGAGCCCGTGGACGCTGCCATTAAAGAGAGTGTGGCCATGCTATTTGCCCAGATATGGAAAGGGTGGAGCCACTGGTAAAAGAAGCAGCCAAGTTGCAAGACAGCGTGCACAGTGGGATCTCCTTTCTGTAGGAACAGTAAAGGCACAATATTAGCATTATGTGAGTTTGCCTCCACACGCCAGTATTTAGCAACATCCACACCCACACTCATCCACACCTGGTGAGCTCGGGGAGGTGGGAAAACCAGGCGAGGAGCGGGAGGAGCTTTTGTTTTTACCTCTGTGTGTTTGTCTTGTTGGTTGATTTTCCAACAGTAAACCAGTTAGAGCGGCCTGTGGATTCCAATCAGAGCATGGGTAGGGCTCCCACATCAGCCACAAGTTCTCACACAGCGCAAAGTCGGCAGGAGCTGGGTGCCGCTGGGGAGGGGACTGGTTTGGGTGATGCTTGACTCCGCCCACTTCCTTCCAGGGAGCCCCTCCCTTCCCTGTCAGTAATTTGCATGTTCTTTATGTTTCTACTGCACTAGCTGTAACCACAGAGTGTTTGCATATTGCTTTAGCTTTCTCTGAGTGTGTTCCTGGCACATCCTTCCTCTGAAATGCTTGTGTAGTGATGAGTGACAACTCATTGCTCTGTTCTGAAGTCTGTGGACTCCCCTCCAGACGGGGGAGTATCAGAGCGACCAGGACAGAAACGTTGGAATTCCCGGTCCTTTCACGGTTGCAGCATTTCCTCAACTCGCCGGCTTCTAGGTTTCGACGGCACTAACGATCTGTGCCACCCATGGCGCTCGGTTCTCTCTGTTGAGACTTGTCATGTCAAGTGTGGCTGCTTCTTCCGCTCGTAAGATTATAAGCCCATCCAGGGCAGGACCCCACCCGGCCCACGCGGGCCGTGATGTCTGTTGTTAAATCATTGCACAGACAAAAACATCAAGCATCGTCGCGAGGGCGGATGTGTTGGGTTTGACTGCAACCGCGCGCTGTTTAGAGCAGGAAGCTCGGCCCAGGAGACCTGGGTGGTTCTCGCATTTCCCGGCTTCGTGACCTTGGCAGGCGTCTGCGGGGGTCCTGGAGGGGCTCGAGGCTAAGTCAGTGGGCGTCACACACCTTGGGGCTGGCGGAGCCAGGGCCTCGGCCTGTTGCCAGCTGCTCCAGCTGCAGTAGCTGAGGGTGGCCCAGGGTCTCCAGGGACAGCTGTCTCGTGCCGTGGTGGTCCTGTTTTTCCAAATGGCATCCTCAACGGCTGGCTTTGCCCGGCCTCCCTCCTGCTGCTGGTTAACATTTGGGTGGCTGCTGGGGCCCCCTGCCAGCCCTGTTCCCATGGTGCAGAGCTGCAGCAGGGCCGGGGAAGTGAGCTGGCTCTGCACCCCAGAGCTTCTCCCCCCATCCCATCAGGTGACCCCTGTCAGGCCCCTTGGGGTGTGATGCAGCTATGGCCCCTGAGACTTGGTTACGGCTGCGCTGAGGTGAGACAGGGGCTGTTGACAGAAGGGTGGACGCAGCCACGCGCACACCACGACGTTTCCCAGAGCCGCAGCCGTAGCTGGCACCCTCTCCTTGTACCCTGGCTCACACAGGCTGCTAACGGGCCGTGGACATCTTGCAGAAATCTGTCCCGACCTCCGGCGAGGGCCACGGAGGAGGGCTCCCTGCAGGCTGCACGCTGCAGAGGAACGTGAGTGTGTTCATGGGCTGCTTTTCTCTGCACCGCATCACGGAGGCTGTTTGAACAGTGCCCATTTAGGGCTGAAACAGGCCAGGAGGATGGTGGAATCCAAGAAAAATACGCACCCTGATAGATGTAGGTGTCTAATCCCCCCATCGGCTAGAGCTTAGGAAAATATTTACCTTGTAACATCTGTGCTGTATTTTCACTGCACAAGCACACATCTGCTTGATGGAATGTGTATCGAGTTCAGATGGTTTTAGCGCGAGTGTTCTTAGTAACCATATAGCTCTGTCTGCCCTCAGCCCAGCCTGCATTTGTGGCTGGGAGGATTTTCTCAGATCAGCTCATTGTTGGAAACAAATAGCTCTCGCGTTTAGAGACGGGACGGCTCTAGGCGGTCGCAGTAATTGGATCTTTAACAACCTCTCACCCCTCCCCAGGAGTGCAACAGCTTCGACACTTCCCGCCGGTTGCTGTAGGCAGCGGGTTTCGGGTTGGTGGGTGTGTGTGTGCGTGAGACCAAGCTCTCAGAGGGCAGCCCTTTGTAGCAACACCGAGGCTAGAAAACGGCTCTTCACTGGCCCCCTGCCCCAGGCTCCCTCCCCACTCTGCAAAGCAGGAACCCAAGCCGGGCCAGGTAGACAGTTGGCTGATTCTTCCCACAGCTCCCAGGGCGTTCAGGCTGGGTTCAGAGTGGGCAGGGGGCCGCGAGCTCCTCTCTGCCGCCCAGACACAGACAGGCCTGCCGCACCGGCCATAGGGCAGGCAGCTGGGGCAGGACAGAGTTGCTGCCCGGGGCTGAAGCCACTGACGGATGCTGACTTCAGCCTAGGCCGATGCCTGCGCCGCTGGGCCTCCCGATTCCCTCGGAGCCGCCCAGTCTTTGAGAAAACCCTTTCGAAGCCGCATCTTGCCCGTGTCGGTGAAGGAAAAGCCACTTCAGCCCTGGTTTTCCCTCCAAATAACTTTCTGCAGAGCTACGAGGTCCTCAAAGAGCAGCAGATCCAACACCGAAACCATCTCCCCTCACACATCACGGCCCTGCTTCTGTTCTCAGCCAAGTTCATGCGGCAGCAACGAACTTCACGTCTACCGTGTGCCAAGCTGAGTGCAGAGCCGTACGCGTGAAGCGTCAAAGGCACCAGACGGCCCCCAGCGGCGGAGCCTGCAGCAGCAGCCTTGGGCTGGAAAGACTCTGGGGCGTTGGGGGATTGACTGACAGCTGCCTGACGTCCCTTGATGTTTGGCTGTCCGTGCTGTCCATGGTGCTGTCTCGCCGTTCTTCAGAACGAGGACTGCCCATGACAGTTACACCGGACGCGTTGACCTAGCAGGTTCTTTGGCGCTTGGTTCTGTGCCTGGGCAGTTTTGGGGCCCGCTTCCAGGCGCTGGCCTGTGTCAGAGGAGGGACCCGCCGCTGTGGGCATCTCCCGCCCCTGGGCCCTCTCCGCTCCTCTCCCCTCGCATTCACGTCTGACCTTCCTCGACCTTCCACGCTTCCTCCTCCCGCCCGTGGACAGCTCTGAGGGGCAGGCCGCTGGGGCCAGCCTGGTGCGTGGTGCAGCTCCGGGAGGGCAGAGAAAGCGAAGAGCAAGCCAAGCAAGCCCGATGAGGCGCCGCTGCGTTTCGAGGCTGAGTCCTGTTAAAATACGTTACCTCGTCTGCCGCTTGCCGGTCCCGCAAGGCAATCACGCTCCTGATGAGTTGGTTAAAAAAGCCATTCAGTTCATCTCGGTTCTTATTGGGCAAAATCCGGGCCAGCGGGACCATCACGGACGGAAACGACACTGGAAAGACAACAGTGGCAGGGGGAAGGCGGCATGGCGACCAGGGCCGGGAGCGCCGGCACCAGCAGCAAACACTGGCCTGGAATCAGAGGTGTCTGGGAGGCGCCCCCCACCCCCACGAGTCACCGCTCCTGGGCGGGGCTCCGGCTCCTCTGCACGCCTCACCCTTCCTCGCACACAGTAAGCACTCAGTAAACGCCTGTGGGGTTCAGCCCTCGCCGCCACCTGGCCCACAAGAGGCCGATGTCCTACTTGAACATTTCGGGTCTCAAGGTCTTGGTCTCATCGTGAGAGGACAGAGTCCAGGCCGCGTGTCCAGTCCCAGCAAGTGGAAGATGGCGACTAATTGTAACTTCTCCTCACTGGCCGTTGTGCCCTCTGGGTGATTTTCCCTGGAGTGAGCCCCTGCACCATCCATAAGAGCTGTGATGCAGCTGCCTCCAAGGACTGTGGCCCCGTCCACCATGGCCCCTTGCCATGGCGTGGGCAGCCTGGGCCTTCTGTGCCCTGGGGAAGGGACGCCCTGGGCTGGGGACCCTTAACACCTCCAGGAGAGAGGTACGGCCCGGCTGAGGGCCTGCTGTGGGGGAGCTGGACTCCGTCCAGTGTCCAAGGCTCCATGCTGGGCCTGCCGTGCGTGGGGCTGTGTGCAGGAGCCGCCCACTGCACAGCACGTGGCCTGTGTTTGAGGGCCCAAGGGAGAGACAGCCAGAGCAGTCTCCCTAGGGTGGTGGTTGGAGGGGCAGCGTGCTGGCTGACTGCGACCATTTCAGTGCGCATCCCGTGGGTGACAGGGGCTCCCACTGAGGTTGGCCCAGATACGGGAATAAAAGTGGCCAAGGAATGAGCCAGCGGAGTGGGCAGACCACAGCGTGACAGCGCTCCCATGTGTGCATAGATGCAGGCAGACGCTGGGATGGTCAGAGGGCAGAAATCCGCTTGTGGAATTCGAAACAGAACCGAGGACGCGGCTCCGCAGGGGCTGGCGTCTCCCAGTGGCCCATCACGTGGGCTGTCTGCTCCGTCTCCCCGTGGCCTGTCACGTGGCTATCTGCTTCATCTCCCCATGGCCTGTCATGGGGGCTGTGTGCTTCGTCTCTCCGTGGCCTGTCACATGAGCTGTCTGCTCCATTTCACTGTGGCCGGTCACATGGGCTGTCTGCCCTGTCTCCCCATGGCCTGTCCTGTGGCTGTGTGCTTCGTCTCTCCGTGGCCTGTCATGGGGGCTGTGTGCTTCATCTCTCTGTGGCCTGTCACATGGGCTGTCTGCTTCATTTCCCAGTGGCCTATCACTTGGATGTCTGCTTCGTCTCCCTGTGGCCTGTGACGTGGCTGTCTGCTCCGTCTCCCAGTGGCCCATCACATGGCTGTCTGCTCCGTATCCCTGTGGCCTGTCATGTGGCTGTCTGCTTCGTCTCTCTGTGGCCTGTCACATGGGCTTTCTGCTCCGTCTCCCGGTGGCCTGTCACGTGGGCTGTCTGCTTCATTTCCCAGTGGCCTGTCACTTGGATGTCTGCTCTGTCTCCCCGTGGCCTGTGACGTGGCTGTCTGCTTCATCTCCCCATAGCCTGTCACGTGGCTGTCTGCTCCGTCTCCCAGTGGCCTGTCACGTGGCTGTCTGCTCAGTCTCCCAGTGGCCTGTCACATGGCTGTCTGCTCCGTCTCCCAGTGGCCTGTCACGTGGCTGTCTGCTTCATCTCCCCATAGCCTGTCATGTGGCTGTCTGCTCTGTCTCTCTGTGGCCTGTCACGTGGCTTGCTGCTCTATCTCCCAGTGGCCTGTCACGTGGCTGTCTGCTCCGTCTCCCAGTGGCCTGTCACGTGGCTGTCTGCTTCATCTCCCCATGGCTTGTCATGTGGCTGTCTGCTCTGTCTCTCTGTGGACTGTCATGTGGCTGTCTGCTCTATCTCCCCGTGGCCTGTCACGGGGTCTGTTTGCTCCATCTCGCAGTGGCCTGTCACGTGACTGCTCAGTCTCCCAGTGGCCTGTCACGTGGGCTGTCTGCTCCATCTCCCAGTGGCCTGTCACATGGGCTGTCTGCTCCGTCTCCCTGTGGCCTGTCATATGGCTGTCTGCTCCGTCTCCCAGTGGCCCATCACATGGCTGTCTGCTCCGTATCCCTGTGGCCTGTCACGTGGCTGTCTGCTCCATCTCCCAGTGGCCTGTCACGTGGCTGTCTGCTCAGTCTCCCAGTGGCCTGTCACGTGGCTGTCTGCTCCGTCTCCCTGTGGCCTGTCATGTGGCTGTCTGCTCCGTCTCCCAGTGGCCTATCACATGGCTGTCTGCTCCGTATCCCTGTGGCCTGTCACATGGCTGTCTGCTCCATCTCCCAGTGGCCTGTCACGTGTCTGTCTGCTCCGTCTCCCAGTGGCCTGTCACGTGGCTGTCTGCTCCGTCTCCCAGTGGCCTGTCACGTGGGCTGTCTGCTCCATCTCCCAGTGGCCTGTCACATGGGCTGTCTGCTCTGTCTCCCTGTGGCCTGTCACGTGGCTGTCTGCTCCATCTCCCAGTGGCCTGTCACGTGGCTGTCTGCTTCATCTCCCCATGGCCTGTCACATAGCTGTCTGCTCTATCTCCCCGTGGCCTGTCACATGGCTGTCTGCTCTGTCTCTCTGTGGACTGTCATGTGGCTGGCTGCTCTATCTCCCCGTGGCCTGTCACGTGGCTGTCTGCTCTGTCTCCCAGTGGCCTGTCATGTGGCTGTCTGCTTCATCTCCCAGTGGCCTGTCATGGGGTCTGTGTGCTCCATCTCCCCATGACCTGTCACGTAGCTGTCTGCTCTATCTCCCCGTGGCCTGTCACGGGGGCTGTGTGCTCCATCTCCCCGTGGCCTGTCACGTGGCTGTCTGCTTCATCTCCCAGTGGCCTGTCACGTGGCTGTCTGCCCCATCTCCCAGTGGCCTGTCACGTGTCTGTCTGCTCAGTCTCCCAGTGGCCTGTCATGTGGCTGTCTGCTTCATCTCCCAGTGGCCTGTCATGGGGTCTGTGTGCTCCATCTCCCCGTGACCTGTCACGTGGCTGTCTGCTCTGTCTCCCAGTGGCCTGTCACGTGTCTGCTTTACCGTGCACTGTGCTCCCAGGGGCATCTGCCGAATGGCAGAAGACAAAAGGCTTTGGGTTCCGCCAGTCTTGGCTCTGCCTTTCTGAGCCTCCGCTTTCTCACCTGAGAAGTGGGGACAAGGACATTTTTCTCGTGGGATGAATGCCTAGAAGGCAGAGCAGCCAGCACGGTGCTTCGGCTGCTTTCTGGGCCCAGAGGTCAGGGCCGCCTGGGTGGGCAGTGAGTGGTGGCCACACGGGAGGGCCCCTTCCTAGTGGCTGGTGCCTCAGCGCCCGGGCAGGGCTGTACTTACAGATTAGAGCCAGCAGAGGCCGGGGGAGGCTGACTTGGAAGAAGCGCCGGCAGTGTTCCACTAAGGGGTGCTCGGGCACCTCCCGGGAGTCCACCTGGGTGCCGAAGGCGACGCTGGCAACCACGTCCGTGGTGTAATAGCAGTAGCACCTGTGGGAGACAGGCGTTCCCATGGGAAAGGACCCTGGCTCGGGTCTCCCCACCCTGCACCCCTCCTGGCCTCAGGCCAGGGCTGGCAAGAGGAGCTGCTGCGGATCTGAGGGGAGGCGAGGGGTGAGGCCCTTTCAGCTGAATGCGGCAGGGGCCGGAGGGGAGGACAGCCACACTGCTCTCAACCTTCCGGCCGGACAGCCTTCCTCAGCCAGCACCCAGCCCAGTACCCAGACGCGCACGTCCCGGCTTCCTCCCCGGAAGCGGGGAGGCTGGGCGACCCGGGGCCTGTGTGCTGTGCACCCAGCTTGTGCACGGCCCCTCCTCCCCAGGCCAGGGCCGATGGGTACTCGTCAAATTGCCAGGGATGCATTAGCAACCTGATCATCCACTTCTATTAACTTTGCCCCCCTCTTCTTGCCAACAAACACAAACCAGGGGCTCTGCACACGTAAATAAAGAGCAGGCGGACTCGGCGGCGTCCTGCGCCCAGATGTGTGGGATCACGGGCGGCACTCACTGCCGAGACAAGCAGAAGGGACGTGTCGGGCAGCAGCTCCAGAGAAGTCGGCTCCTCGGGCTCCGGGAACCTGGCCCCCTAAGGCCACTTTAAACCGCAGTCCCCTCTTTTGTTATCTTACGGGAGTAGTCAGATTAGGTTCTTTCTAGAAAGGCTAACAGCTGGGATATTAATATCCTTTTATAGTGAAAATGTCCGCCTTTGTCCCCGAGGCAGGCCCACATTAAGCTTCTCCTTAAGTTCCGGAACCACCACTTATCATCAAGGAACAAGTGACATGCCCAGGTGACTTTTGTTATGTTGGCTGCTTTGACTGAAACCTGTCTACAATTGATGACCTATTTTCCTGCCTGTAATAAAAACAAACCCGAGACTACTGAATGCGATTTTATCTCATCTTACTGGCCGAAGCTTTAAGGGTCTTATGAATTATTTGCAGTGTTTGTAGCTGCTGAAGCCACCTTATCTTTAGCCAACTCCCGCATCGTTGTATCTGAACAAAGGTGGCTGGCAAGACTTGGTCAACTCCACGCACAGTGAAAACGCTGGCGATGATTACGTGATAGTTTTATCGGCAGTCACACGTAGGAGCTGGCTTCCGACTGGCGTGCCATGCCCACTGCGTTCCTAACTGCTGGAAGTCACAGTTTGGCTCAAGATGACTGCGGGTTGCGGGGGGAAACCCAGGTCACCCATCAGGGACATTGGTGCCCCCCGGGGACTCATGGTTTCTAGGCTCGGAGGGCTCCACAGTGGTTCTTGACCTGACAGTGCATGGTCTGCCCAGTGTGTCCTGTGTGTGTCAGCGGCAGCCAGAGAGCACACCCACCCGCAGCTGCCTCCCCGGGCCACGTGCGACAGGCTGTGACACACTTCTTCTTATTAATCAGCCTCTCATGGCTGGCCCCGAGATGACCGGCCAGCAGTTCCATGAAGTTCCAAACTGCAGTGGTGTCTCATCGGCCGCCCCCACCATGCCCTTACCTCTGGACATCGAAGGCAGCCCCGGACTCTGCACAACGCTGGAAATGAGCCAGGAGAAGGTCGCAGGCTTCGCTGACCAGGGGCAGCATCTGCCAAGGGAGAACAAAGCAGTGAGCGGGGCAGCCTGCAGGGAGCGCACGTCGTGGGCTGAGCTCTCTGGGAAAGCGGCCATTGTTTGGAAGGTGCTTTTCACACAGCTACTGCTGGAGAGGAAGAACTCACATTCACAAATGTTCATAAACTACAATGGCTGTAAACGTCTGTTTTAGCTTGAGCAATCTATTTTATTTTTTGGAAGCAAAAAAGAAAGAATTCAAAATAAACATGGTGAGATAATTCTGGAAGTGATCATGAAGTGCTTAGACAGCTGAGGGTCATACCCAGTTTCATGACATTTGGTTAACATTACAGAGTAAATAGACCGCATTCCATATGTCCTGTCTCTGGAATTAACCCAAATCCATGCTTGCTTGTTCCAATTATAGATCTTCCACTGTAAAATCTCAGTGTCCAGAGGAACCTAAGGTCATCCATTTCAACATTTTAATTAACACAGGAATTATTTTTAGGGTATTTCTGAGTGATGGTTATTCATTTGTGCTTATGCTGCTTAAACCCTCAAATATAGGGGCTCTCTTGGTTCAAGAGGCCCCCTTTCACCACAGAGGAATTACTGAGTTTGTCTTACTGACAAAATGCTTATGGGGGTGGGTGTGTGGCGCAGGGATGAGTCGCCTCCTGAGATCCAGCATCCCATGTGGCAGTGCTCAGCAGGAGTCTGGGCTATCCTGCTGCCGGTCCAGCTTCCCGCTCACGTGCACCTGGGGGCAGCGGGGGCAGCTCAAGAACTTGGGTCCCTGCCGCCTACATGGGAGACCAGGATTGAGCTCCTGGCTGCTAGCTTTGGCCTGGCCCAGCCATGGCTACTGGGAGCATTTGGGGAGTGAACTGGCTGATGGAAGTTTCCTGTCTGTCTGTCTCTCTGCTTCTCTCTCAATCTCATTGCCATTCGAATGAAAGTTCAAAATAAATAATAAAGAATTCTGTTGTATAAAATGAAACACAGGAAGGTACAGAAAATGGCATCTTGAACAATCATGGGCCACCACCCAGGTCCAACACATGCAGGCTTTGTGTTTGGCTGCCTGCTGCGTCATACCCAGCAGGCTGGTTTGCAGGGTGAAGCACCTTGTGGAGGCCAGTGGGCACCCCTGTGACCTTTCATGCTTCCCTGTACATTGGAGAGGCGAAGGTGTGAGCATTCAGGTAAACACTGCACCAGTCACATTCTACAGGCACACAGGGGACACTGCACCAGACACATTCTACAGGCACACAGGGGACACTGCACCAGTCACATTCTACAGGCACACAGGGGACACTGCACCCAGTCCCATTCTACAGGCACACAGGGGACACTGCACCCTATGCACATTCTACAGGCACACAGGGGACACTGCACCAGTCACATTTTACAGGCACACAGGGGACACTGCACCAGTCACATTCTACCGGCACATAGGGGACACTGCACCAGTCACATTCTACAGGCACACAGGGGACACTGACCCAGTCACATTCTACAGGAACACAGGGGACACTGCACCAGTCACATTCTACAGGCACACAGGGGTCACTGCACCCAGTGCACATTCTACAGGCACACAGGGGACACTGCACCAGTCACATTCTACAGGCACACAGGGGACACTGCACCAGTCACAATCTTCAGGCACACAGGGGACACTGACCCAGTCACATTCTACAGGCACACAGGGGACACTGCACCAGTCACATTCTACAGGCACACAGGGGTCACTGCACCCAGTGCACATTCTACAGGCACACAGGGGACACTGCACCAGTCACATTCTACAGGCACACAGGGGACACTGCACCAGTCACAATCTACAGGCACACAGGGGACAGTGCACCAGTGCACATTCTACAGGCACACAGGGGACACTGCACCAGTCACATTCTACAGGCACACAGGGGACACTGCACCAGTGCACATTCTACAGGCACACAGGGGACACTGCACCCTGTGCACATTCTACAGGCACACAGGGGACATTGCACCAGTGCACATTCTACAGGCCCACAGGGGACACTGCACCAGTCACATTCTACAGGCACACAGGGGACACTGCACCAGTGCACATTCTACAGGCACACAGGGGACACTGCACCAGTCACATTCTACAGGCACACAGGGGACACTGCACCAGTCACATTCTACAGGCACACAGGGGACACTGCACCAGTGCACGTTCTACCGGCACACAGGGGACACTGCACCAGTCACATTCGACAGGCACACAGGGGACACTGCACCAGTGCACATTCTACAGGCACACAGGGGACACTGCACCCAGTCACATTCTACAGGCACACAGGTGACACTGCACCCAGTCCCATTCTACAGGCACACAGGGGACACTGCACCAGTGCACATTCTACAGACACACAGGGGACACTGCACCAGTGGACATTCACAGGCACACAGGGGACACTGCACCCAGTCAAATTCTACAGGCACACAGCGAACACTGTACACAATGCACATTCTACAGCACACAGGGGACACTTCACCCAGTCACATTCTACAGGCACACAGGGGACACTGCACCAGTCACATTCTACAGGCACACAGGGGACACTGCACCCAGTGCACATTCTACAGGCACACAGGGGACACTGCACCAGTCACATTTTACAGGCACACAGGGGACACTGCACCAGTCACATTCTACCGGCACACAGGGGACACTGCACCAGTCACATTCTACAGGCACACAGGGGACACTGCACCAGTCACATTCTACCGGCACACAGGGGACACTGCACCAGTCACATTCTACAGGCACACAGGGGACACTGCACCAGACACATTCTACAGGCCCACAGGGGACACTGCACCAGTCACATTCTACAGGCACACAGGGGACACTGCACCAGTCACATTCTACAGGCACACAGGGGACACTGCACCAGTCACATTCTACAGGCACACAGGGACACTGCACCAGTCACATTCTACAGGCACACAGGGGACACTGCACCAGTCACATTCTACAGGCACACAGGGGACACTGCACCAGTCACATTCTACAGGCACACAGGGGACACTGCACCAGTCACATTCTACAGGCACACAGGGGACACTGACCCAGTCACATTCTACAGGCACACAGGGGACAGTGCACCAGTCACATTCTACAGGCACACAGGGGACACTGCACCCAGTCACATTCTACAGGCACACAGGTGACACTGCACCAGTGCACATTCTACAGGCACACAGGGGACACTGCACCCTGTGCACATTCTACAGGCACACAGGGGACACTGCACCAGTGCACATTCTACAGGCCCACAGGGGACACTGCACCAGTCACATTCTACAGGCACACAGGGGACACTGCACCAGTGCACATTCTACAGGCACACAGGGGACACTGCACCGGTCACATTCTACAGGCACACAGGGACACTGCACCAGTCACATTCTACAGGCACACAGGGGACACTGCACCAGTCACATTCTACAGGCACACAGGGGACACTGCACCAGTCACATTCTACAGGCATACAGGGGACACTGCACCAGTCACATTCTACAGGCACACAGGGGACACTGACCCAGTCACATTCTACAGGCACACAGGGGACAGTGCACCAGTCACATTCTACAGGCACACAGGGGACACTGCACCCAGTCACATTCTACAGGCACACAGGTGACACTGCACCAGTGCACATTCTACAGGCACACAGGGGACACTGCACCCTGTGCACATTCTACAGGCACACAGGGGACACTGCACCAGTGCACATTCTACAGGCCCACAGGGGACACTGCACCAGTCACATTCTACAGGCACACAGGGGACACTGCACCAGTGCACATTCTACAGGCACACAGGGGACACTGCACCAGTGCACATTCTACAGGCACACAGGGGACACTGCACCAGTCACATTCTACAGGCACACAGGGGACACTGCACCATGCACATTCTACAGGCACACAGGGGACACTGCACCAGTCACATTCTACAGGCACACAGGGGACACTGCACCAGTCACATTCTACAGGCACACAGGGGACACTGCACCAGTGCACATTCTACCGGCACACAGGGGACACTGCACCAGTCACATTCTACAGGCACACAGGGGACACTGCACCAGTGCACATTCTACAGGCACACAGGGGACACTGCACCAGTCACATTCTACAGGCACACAGGGGACACTGCACCAGTCACATTCTACAGGCACACAGGGGACACTGACCCAGTCACATTCTACAGGCACACAGGGGACACTGACCCAGTCACATTCTACAGGCCCACAGGGGACACTGCACCAGTGCACATTCTACAGGCACACAGGGGACACTGCACCCAGTCACATTCTACAGGCACACAGGTGACACTGCACCCAGTCCCATTCTACAGGCACACAGGGGACACTGCACCCTATGCACATTCTACAGGCACACAGGGGACACTGCACCAGTCACATTCTACAGGCACACAGGGGACACTGCACCAGTCACATACTACCGGCACACAGGGGACACTGACCCAGTCACATTCTACAGGCACACAGGGGACACGGCACCCTATGCACATTCTACAGGCACACAGGGAGACTGCACCAGTCACATTCTACAGGCACACAGGGGACACTGCACCCAGTGCACATTCTACAGGCACACAGGGGACAGTGCACCCAGTCACATTCTACAGGCACACAGGGGACACTGCACCAGTCACATTCTACAGGCACACAGGGGACAGTGCACCAGTCACATTCTACAGGCACACAGGGGACAGTGCACCAGTCACATTCGACAGGCACACAGGGGACACTGCACCCAGTCACATTCTACAGGCACACAGGGGACACTGCACCAGTCACATTCTACAGGCACACAGGGGACAGTGCACCAGTCACATTCTACAGGCACACAGGGGACAGTGCACCAGTCACATTCTACAGACACACAGGGGACACTGCACCAGTGGACATTCACAGGCACACAGGGGACACTGCACCCAGTCACATTCTACAGGCA